GGGGGAATGGATGGGGGTGCTGACAGCACAGTGGACAGTGACAGGGATAGCAGAGTGTGGAGGCTCTAGTGGGAGAGGAAGGCTGTCTACCTGACGAGTTTGTATTCATGCTCAGATGCCGAGGAGCTCAGAAGGTGGGTGACTGTAACCAGTGATAGTCATGTATATAGAGATTAGAAATGCATGTGAAAACGTCTCAATGTCAATAGGCTTGGAATGAATTTTTCTGTATGAAATTGTGTGTTTTGACAACGAAGTGGAGATCTTTTTTAAACGTTGGAACCTCATTTAATTTTATGTCTTATAGAGTTTATAATGAGTAAAAGATTATATAAGGGTAATAATTCATCTGTAAACCTAGAAATGTACAGCCAGTTTTGAAAGAGATGTACCCTAGCTCAGAAAAATGTTATTGAATAGGTTAATGCTGTTGTAATGAAATGTTTCTTGTAATTAAAAATAAATAAATAAATAAATAAATAAATATTTAAAAGTTATGGTTAGGTTGTGTATGTGTGTGTGAAAGAGGGAGGGAGGGAGGGAGGGAGAGAGGTATATGCAGTGCATGCAAGTGCACACATTTGTACTCCCAAGCACACATGCAAGGCGAGAGGACACTAGCTGTGTCTTCCGTTACTGTTCTCTGCCTTACTGCCTTGAGACAGGGTCTCTCACTGAACTGGAAGCTCGCCATTTTGGTTAGGCTGGCTGGCCAGTGAGCTTCAGGATCTGCCTGTCTTGCCTGCCCCCTAAATCCTGGGGTTACAGGCATGCATAGCCATGCCCAGCTTTTTGTGGGTGCTGGGGATTCAAACCCAGGTCCTCAACCTTGCAGAGCAAGCTCTCTTACCACTGAGCCATCTCTCCAGCACAAAGTTTTTGCTTTTTTTCTTTTTAATGGATGGCTCATTTAAAAAATTGTCAGCACATTTTAAGCCAAAATGACACATGTATAAGGCAGCTGATACACAACCCCAGGGAAATGAATGTGCTGCCCAGGTTTAGCACTTCATGCAAAGAAGCAGATACCCTGATGGACACAAAATATGTTATTTATTGTTGATTTCTGCAAAGACACATTTAAGCAACAAAATATACATTTGTCAACCTTTTAGAATTTGTTTTATACATTAACAAATACAATGTGCTACCATAGCAATAAATTAAATGTACACTATTTACATTACATAGGCAGTCAGGGTCTACAAATCACCTCCTCACTAAGAGGAAGGAAAGAAAAGTCATCATCGTCACAGGGAGTCACTTCCAAACTACACTCTACCACAGGCATCTCTTCACATGGAGACATCAGCACTCCCCAAGCTGGAGGTCAAAGGGTGACATCACAAGGAAGAGTTGGCACACACCACACACTAAGGAGCAGGAAGGGGAATTTCACCCTTCCAAGTGGAAATGTCACAAAACCAAAGACAATGGCAATTAAATCCCAATCTTCAAGTCAAGTACTCTCCCCTCAGGGCTGGCAAAGCCCAATCCAGAGCCCCTGTCCTAGCACCTGCTCACTCAGTACTCAGTAGTGCTCCACTGCCTTTGGCCCTGGGCGGTTGTCTTCTTCCTCCCAAAGGGGCACACAGCCCAGCTGAAAGAAGAGGGGTGTAGGATCAGGATAAGCAAGGGACTGCTGATGAAACAGATACCAGAACTTGGTAGAATGCCCCAGAGGCCCCCTACCAAGCTATAAGAGATAGCCTTTCGGGCTATACCTGCCTGCCTTTGCCTTTGATTAGGGGAATGGGGGCGGGGGGGGTGCTAGCCAGAAGCTGGGTAAGGAACATAGGCTTCAGAGCATGACTGATTGGCCTGGTCCCTGCAGCCCAGGAGCCATAAGATCTACCTGAACCCCAGCCAGTTTCCCACAGCAGAACTGTCTTTGCAGACTAAGAAATAAACAACAAAGGGTAATGTTTAGTTGGCACCTTGAGGGGTCAAGGTAAGGAAAATGAAACTGGCTGTATCCTGCCTAATTACCTGATCTGGGTTTTCAATAACCATGCCCATTTTAAGAACTGGAGAAGCTGGGAGCATAGCTAAGTGGCAGAGTACTTGCTTAGCATGAGCAAGACCTTGGATACATTCCCAGCACCATCATATAAAAGGGGGGGGACCAGAGAGAGTTTCCTTTTACCACTTTTACCACTTTCTGTCTTAATTCAGAACAAGGAAGTCAAAGGCTAATGCATCTTTTCCCAGGCCCTAGTCACAGAGCCCAAGAGCTGGAATCCCTCCCTGTTTCCTTTATTCAAGCTGCACCCCCAAACCCCAGGGCCCTCACTGACCAATCCAAGATTTCTCATGATGAAAAACAGCAGAGGCTGAGGCCCTGCCAACACCCTCCAATCCTGGCACCTCCCAGTGTGGAGGCCCCAGCCAAGCAGCTTCCCCAAAGCCCAGGCCTCAGGAAAGGCAGAGGCTTACTCGACCAACAACACAGCTGGCACACAGGAAAGGGCCCTGGGCTGTGGGTCTAGTGTCAGCTTGGCTACTAGGTGGCTGTGTGGCCTCAAGCAAGTTCTTTCCCCTCATCTAGACGATGACATGTTGGATGAGATGCTAACAGGGGCCAGAAGGCTTGAGAATCCAATGATGCCCACAAAACTGAACCACAGATTATTTTCCAAGAAACGCCATTTGACATTCATTATCACAGACAGAAACTGTCTAAGACCTTCTATCTCAAGCTTTCCTGCATCTGTTTTGAAGCATCAGCAGAACTGGAGACAGAACAGAGGCCTAACAGCACCTGCAAAGTTTAGCTTCTTCAGTAAGGCAGGAAGTGCCAAGCCAGAGGTGTGACCAAAAAAGCCTTTCATAGAGGTCATGGTGGAAGGGCTTCAGATATGAGTGAAGCCTCATCTGCACAAGCCCAGTCACAAGAGCTGAGAGGCTTCAGTAAGACTCTAAGCTGCTGCCCACAGTCCAGAGGGCTGTAGGGGGCTGGGCCCTCATTCTCATTCAGCCCCCAGAGGATCCCAGACCATAATACAGCACTGCACAACCATTGAGCAACTGTAACTATGTGCTACCCAGAGAAGGGAGCCAGAACCCTTGTAATAGTTTCAAAGAAAACATCGTTTGACCTTTGAAGTTCCTGTGGAAACCTGCCAGTACAGTGTCGCCAGAATCTATGGGCCTCCTTCCAGCAGTGGGTGCTGCTACACTGACTTTTAATAAAAGCTAAACAGATATTCTGTTGACCTTCTAGCTAGAATGAATCTTACCAGACTAGTACTTTATGCAAGCAGGTTTTCCAAATGGGTGAAGGGAGCAGTCCCCCTCCCCTGGCTATAAGTGCAATGAGAACAAAGAATCAAAATTTTGCTCAGATGACAAAAGCAAGAGGGGAAAGAGTTAACAATATCAGCCCCAAACACTGTCACATGTCTGTGCTTTGGCTTGGGAATAGATCCTTATGCAGAGAGATAAAGCACTTGGTTAGAAATCTTGTCATCTGGTCACTGAAGCAGACGCCCAGCCAGCATCAGCCCCAGCAGCCCTGTGCCAGAGGCCTGTGTGTACTTAAAGTTGCAAGACCTTCAAGGGTTGCTGTTTAGCCTTGGTGTTTAGGCTGGAGGATGCTCCACCCCACACCCAACATCAGAAAGCCTTGCAGGGTTGGAAGGCTGAGAAGCCAGAAGGGCTGATGAGCAGGCTCATCCCACAGAAGGTGGCCCTGGTCGGGTGCAACGTGCAATGTATAAAGCACAGGCACATGGACCTGGGCTTACAGGAGTCCTACAGATGTGGCAATTGCCTAGAGACCTGCAAGTGGAGAGGGGGTGAAGGAGGGTTGAGTTGAGAGGCTGAGCCTAGAAGCAGCCCCCAGGCAATACTGGGCCCCTCACAGATGCCAGGAACACAAATTATGAAAGGACAAAGTATTCTTTCCAACACTAAGTTCAACCTTCACACACTGGCCTGACTAGAACTCGCCAAGTCATCCCTACCACACCTTTCCCCTCTTACCTAAGGGATGGACTGAAATAAGTACATACTAAGTTCAACCTTCACACACTGGCCTGACTAGAACTCGCCAAGTCATCCCCTACCACACCTTTCCCCTCTTACCTAAGGGATGGACTGAAATAAGTACACCTTTTTTGAACTTTCACAAAAGTGGAGACCTGGACCCCAGCTGAGTCTTTGCATCCAGAGGCTGGTCATTTGGTTTTCTCAACCAGCAAACACCCAGCACTGGTCATTTGCTCTCCCTGAACTCCTGGCTGTCCATTCCTTCATAGGAAAAATATTTAATCAAAGGGGGAAAACTACCTGGGCTTCTCCTACAGCTAGGATAATCAGGAGCATATGTGAAATGAGAAAGGAAACACCTTGAGAGGACAGTCAAGGAAGTATACAGCCAGGTCCCAGACATACCCAGCTCTGACTCTGAGCTGGCCACCAGCCTGAGCCCCCTAAGGAGAACCTGGCAGCAGGGTTATGAGCCCCCTAGGCCTGGGCTAGTAGATGTGTCAGAAGTGTTTCACATAGGAGCAGTAAGATATTTTGGAACTCCAGAGGAACAGGAGCAATGAAGCTGATTTTTATAGGATTCAGCTCTTGGAAAAACAGCCCTTCCCTTCCACCACAAGCAAATGCATGTCCAAGAAGGCACTGCACTGTGACCCAGGACAGACAGTACCCACCATGCTCTCTGCAGTCATCTCCGCTCCCCACTCACCACCCCTTCTGTCTCTAGCTCCCCAGTTTCCATCTGAACACCCTGGAACCCAGGTCCTCCCCTTGCCCAACCCTTTTCCTGCAGACAAAACAAGATGGCAGTTGACCCAGACAGACGTCACATTGGGAGGTGAGGAACAGGGTGGCCTCTGGGTAGGAGGCCTTGTCCAGAGATGGGCAGGTGCTTCAGGTCTATTGATGAAGAAGCCAGCAGGACTATGGCCAGGTCAAGACATGGAATAGACAGCTGGTCATCTGGGTAGGAGGCCAGTGAGACAGCAGGCCTGAACAGTCAGAGTAGTGGACGGCACCCCCAAACTGCTAGAACAGGAGCATTCCACAGGCTAGAATCAAGACTCCCCTGAGGAGACAAGGAGGAGGGAGACAGAGAGCAAGCACTGAGTGAAAGAAGGGAGAAAAAAAAGGCTGGTGATGTGGCCCTGAGGAGTCGGGTAGGGACAAGGATGCACTCAGGATAAGGCAGGTGCTAAATACAAGGGTGTCTGGCTTCAGCCCCAGAAATTAGGCATATGCTTTACTGTGCTGTAGATGCATTCGCAGCCAGGCGCAGAGGGTGGAGGCAAATGACACGCTCCATTTTCCCCTCTGGTTTTTTTCATGAGCAGGTTTAATACAAAGTGGACCCTTTCCCTTGATCTCAAATGAGAGCCCCAGGGGAGTAGAAGGTGGGGGGTCCTGATGAGTCTCTAGTGACTTCACTAGCAGGAGTTCATGACTGGGCTCATGCCAGGAGCAGAGGCCTCCCTGGGGCTGTCCCTCATAGTGCCCCTCATAGTACTGGCTGGGCAGGGACATCTCATGTCATATAAGGAAGATACATCCCAGTCTGGAGCCTTGGCCAAAGATAAAGGAGGAACAGGCTGCCTGAGAACAGGAAACCAAGGGGTAAACTGAAGAAGGACATGGCCTCAAGGTTTCTGCTCCTTCTGCCTACTATAACCAGTTCCATCCAGTGTGGTGGTTTGTCCCAGTGCCACTGGACAACCCTTCCTGACCATGGTCCTCAGCCCGTCCTTGCCCCTGCAGATCTGGGGAAGCCCATTTCCCAGATGACAGCCTCTCCTGCTAGTCTCAGGTCATAAGGTCACAGGCACCCTGATCTTAAAGGAACACTCCCCTCTCAGGGCCACTGTAAGACAAACCCTCACCCTCACTCACCTTGGATAGGGGAAGGACTCCTCTTCCACATTAGTGACCCTGTTTAAGAAACATACAGGAATTTTTCAAAAATCAGACAAGAATCCCCTCCACCTGCAATTTCTGTGCATCCACTCTTGGTAATCTGAGCTCAGGAACAGACTTGGGTTCCCAGGAACCAGCAGATCCCAACTCACATCTGGGCATGGCTGTGTCCAAGGGTGTAACTCTAATGCAGGAAGTGTGGTAAAGGTGGCTGGTGAGCCCCTGGCTAATGTCTGCACCATGTGGGAACAGACACCATCACCCAGATCTGGCCAGAGAACCCTTCCCCTGCCTCCCTCTGGAGACACCCATGTGACATCGGAGATGCACTCTCTCTCCAGCGCACAGGGGAAAAGGCTAGTTGTGGAGGGTCCAGGAGTGTGGGACTTGGCTTCACGTGCTCTTCCTCAGCCGCCTCACACAATCCTTACCGCACTAGAGCTGGCATGGCTGAGCTTATCAAAGCGAAACTTCAGGTTTGACCTCGGGGAGTTTCTGCTTTTGGCATCTAAGAAAAGAAAAAAGAGGAGGAGCTGCAGGGATTATTCCAGTAAAATGGGAGTGCTGGGTGGGAGGCCAGAGAAAGGAGTCTCCAAGTCTCCTTAAGGCATGCTCACTGACTGGGACCCACTCATCAGAAGCAACACTCAAACTTTGAGAAATGTTGTAAGCAGGTTGTTAAACATGGGCCAATTTTAAAATTAAATTATATAAGCTTATATAAGTAAACAAACTACAATCAACCAGCATAATAAATACTCAAATTTGATTCCAAGTTCAGGGATATCACGGTGACAGCTTAAGATTAGCCATGATGAGTATTTACACCACCAAAACTGTCAGTGCTTGGCTTATTGCTTAGTGGTCTAGAGGTAAGAAACTAATGGATTAAACTTGAAGATGTGCGTGCCTGCAGCCACTACTTCATGAGTAGGGTCATCAGTGAGTGTTCACCAGTATTTGAAAACTATTATCAAATTCAGAAAATAAGTTGCTTATATCACTGACAAGCAAATGATAGTCTCCTAATGTGAAGTACTTGTCAACATAAACAACAATACCAAACGACATCCATGTGGGAAGCACATTTGATTGTCATCTGCTGCCTTATGCTGGCTACAGGCACAAAAGTTAGGCAAATATCAATGTATGTTCAGTATATGTTCTGTAAGAATCATTTAGACATACAAGATTTTCAGTGAAAGATACTGTTTTATACCATTATTTGTAAACTATGTGCTTCTGATCCATCATATTGTTAAAATTTATTCTATGTGAATGTTTGTGTGTATATGTCCCTCTCTGAGTAACCCTGCCATTCCCTTTGGGGCCTCAGCAAGCCCAGGTATGAAATGACCAATGACCAGACAACCAAGATTACAGACAACCTTCAGTGTAGGGCTTCCCAGGCCACCTCTCTCCTCTCAGCCTGCCTCTCCTCAGACTCAGTGGAGCAGCCAGAAACAGGTTTCAAGACCTCCAAAGCCCACCCTGACCCTTCCAGAACCCAGTACAATGTGTATGAGGATAGGACTCAAAAGCAGAATATCAGAGTTAAATATGGCCTGGAGGGGAAGAGTTCAGAAGATGTATCACATGGCATGGTAGACACTGGGAAAGTTACAGACTTGTTCTACAGTCCCTTCTGCCCTGGGTGCAGACACTCCCTAAGCCTCCCTTGAGGCTTAAACCCTATTCTGGAGAACAGTCTGGCATTCACTCATTTTGGTATTTATTTAGTGTCACACAGGACAGTTTTGGTGATAAGATTCTTCTGTTCACTCCATCAACATTTACTAAACCTTATTTGGGGTGTGGGGGAGTTGAGACAGGATCTCCCTGTAACCCCAGCTGGCCTAGAACTCTTCATATAGACCAGGTTGACCTCAATCTCACAGAGATTTGTTTGCTTCTGCTGGGATTAAAGGCATGCACCAACATGCCTGGATTGTCCTTATGTTAAAAATAAATAAAATCAGGAAATGTAAATGAATGTATCTAACTACCTCATATTACATATGAAGAAACTGAGGCTCATGACGTGGGCCTGTCAATGCCACATCTAGGATTAGACTTCATCTCTAGAGCTGCCCTGGCCTCAAGGAGTTGAATGAGATGAAACTCAAGTGATTCATTAACTGGGAAGCCTACCACAAAGTCACTTGCTTTGACCCCTGTCTTCCTTTTGGCATTTTTTTAATATCTACCCTCTGATGCCTCAGGGCTGGCCCCTCCCCTTTTCCTCAAACCTGGTGCCTCTTACTCTGGTCAACTGAAGGAATCACAGAAACCCAAAAGACCCAGGCCACTGTTCTTCCAACCCCCCACCACCAACAGTAACTTTTGCATCCTACATGCTCTCCCAGAACCAGACCCCACCGGCTGTCCACTGTACCCTGCTGGCCCCCTCTCCAGCCTCACCAATCCCTTCTACACGCAGCGTGCGGCTGCCAAAACAGTCTTTCTCAATGTCAGGTGGCACTTCAGGAGCCTTTGGTGGCGTAGACCACTTGCAGGACAGTGTCAGGGTCCCCACCAGGGTCTCTGGTAGCCCACTCATGGTCATTTCAGCCTCTGTCCTCTCTCACACCTTCCCATGATTCCCACTGCACTAAACCTAGTTTGGTTCCAGAACGCATGATGTTTCATTCCTCCAGGTTACAGGCTTCTCCGCTGTGGTTCCCTCTTATCATCATTCAGGGACAGAGGTCCTGGGTATGCCAAAGGGGAGCAGAGAGTACTCAGCTTTCTAATCATGCAATCCCAATTCCCCACCAGGGGATTTCCAAAAAATCATTCAATTCTGTGAGGCTCGGTTTCCCCATATGTAAGAAGAATAGAAGCTTTTTAATTTTTCTATGTATGAGTGTTTTGTCTGCATGTATATAAGTGTGCTGCCCATGGAAGTCAGAAGAGGGCATTAGATCCCCTGGAACTGGAGTTAAGGATGGTTGTTAGCTACCATGTGGCTGCTGGGACTCAAACCCTGGTCCTCTGGAATAGCAGCCAGTGCTCTTAATAATTGATCTACCTCCCCAGGCCCTAGAATATAATCTTTTTTAAGGTTTTAAGGTTGATAGACAAATCGAGAAAGTTGGCAGAGCTAAAGGCCCTAAGATCTTAGAGGAGGAGTAGAAGCTGGCCAATTTGGCATGCCTGGGGTGCATGCCTTGTGAACAGCAAATAGGGAACATCCCTGACCTCCCAACCTCATCATACACATCTTCAACTGCCACTAACCTGTGGGACTCCGGCTCATGATGATGGGTGTGGCAGCAGCCCCCAGGCAGGGGTTCTCGCTGCTTGGGGACGGACTGTAGACAAACACCTCCTGCTTGAAGGGTGACGTTGTGGATGGCTGACTGCTCTAGGGAGAGAGGCTGGGTGAGCAAGGCCAGTATACCCTCAGCAGCCCCATAGCAGTATGGAGATGGGCCGTGCAAGTTCAAGACAGCCACTGTCTCCAACCCCACTTGGACCTGTTACCCCAGCCATAGTGCAGCCTCTACCTGACCCTTCCCCCTCTCCAGCTAGTGTCCCCATTGTAGACATCCTCCAGCCTGGCCCTGGCCCTCTACTGCTAGCACTCTACTGAGACGGAGACAGGTAGTAACAGCTGCCTAGGCCACCACTTGTCCAGAGTATGACCAGTAGGCCCCAGAGTGCTGTCTATAGGCTGAACAGGAGACACTTACCCCACTGTCACACTCCTCCATGGCCTCGCCCTCCCCCGCTGTGCTGCTGAAGCTGCTGGTGCTGGAGGAGGAGCGGGAGATGTTGGCACGGCCATTCTCCTTCAACTTTATGAAGGGCCTGCAGGGAACAGGAAGCAAGGCAGCCCTGGTCACAGAGCGCCAAGACCCTACCCCCAAGCCTCAGGCCCTGCCCATATCAAGAGGAGAACAAGCCCAGTGGAGATCTGAGCTTGCCCATAGGCTCCCCCTGTGCCTGCCTGGTGGCCTTTGTTCTCCAGGAAGTTCCAGAGGCAAGAGCTGTCACTCTCAGTTTGCCTGGAGGCAGAGCTAGGCTCCAAATGGCTACAGACAGCCTTTCCCAACCTGACTCTCTTACTTCTCTTTGTTGGGACAGATTTCCGGAGAGCTGGGATTAGATGAGGTCTCAGACTTTATCTCCTGAGAAGAGTGTCCACCATCCGGGGTCTTGGGGGTACTGGAGGCACTGTCACTGAGGAAGAGGGAAATGAAGAGAGGTGAGGCCCAGGAGCCAGACCCCAGCCCTTGTTCATCCTGGGCCTCAGACAGAGCTCCGACTGCAGGGGCTAGTGCCCCCTACAGGGTACAGTGCAGCTGCCACTTCCCTTCCCACCTGAACCTCTGAGACTACCACACACAACAGGGTTTTCTGCTACTTTCCCTACAGTAAGGAATCATCTAGATTCCTGGTGAAGGTCCAGGGCCACCAAACAGGGGCCTTGGTTTGATAGCCTCCAGCCAAAGTCTACCCCTCTCACAAGCTGTCCCATGTGGCAGAGCTATGCTTCAAGAGAAGCTTCCACCAGGGACAGAGTGTGGTCTATAGGAATTATCCAGTACCCACTATTCCTGAGGGTGCTAGGAAGGTCCACTATAGGACTCTTGAAGACAGCCTACATAAAGACCATAATAAAAGCCCTCTGGATGATGTGACAAGCAGAGGCCTACTCTCAACCCAAGGATCCAACGGTTTCCCTTCTATAGTTCCGCAAAGACCACAAATTACCCTGTACCAGAAACTGGGGACATGACGGTTCTGTCCTCAGTGCACTTTTTTTAGTAGCAGCATTATTAAGATATAATAACATGTCATATGACTCATCTATTAGTGGACAATTAGTCTTTAATATGTTCATAGAATTGTACAGCCATCACTGCAATCTAATTTTAGAATATTTTTTGGCTTCTAAAAGAAACCCTGGCCCCATCTGCAACTGGCTGTCCACCCCCACCCCCACCCCCACCACTAACCTATTTTCTATCTCTATGGACTCACCTGGTCTAGACATTTCTCAGAAACAGGATCTACTGTTCGTGTGGTCTTTGCATCTGGATCTTCCCACTAGCTTAGATTTTCAAAGTTTGCCAGTGTTGAAGCCTGCATCAGTACCTCAATGCTTGCTATTGCAAAATAATATTCCATATCATGGGCACATCCCATTTTATTTATCTAGTCATCAGATGAGTGGTGCTCCAGTTGTTTCCACTTTGGGCTACCATGAATCATGCTGCAGTGAGTATGTGTGTACTAGTTGTACCAGCATTTTTTATCAACAACTGTTTTCAGTTCTTATGTGTCTAAACCCTCGGGTGGAATCACTAGGTCTTATGGTAACTCTGTGTTTAGCCTTCTGAGGGCTGCCAGACTGTTTTCTAAGGCAAATGTACTATCTCCCATCCCCACCAGTAATACACAAATGTGCCAGTATCTCTGCATCCACTCTAACACTTATTATTTACCTGCTTGATCACAGCTACCCTAGAGGGCCTAATACACTTTGTGTGTGTTTATGTATGTGTACGTGTGATGTATGCATGTGTGTGCAGGTGCATAAAACTGTGCTTGTACTTGTGGAGGTCGGAAGTTGGCGCTGGGTGTCTTCCTCTATCACTTTCCACCTTATTTTCTGAGACATGGTCTCTCACTGAATCTGAAGTTCACCAACTAGTCTGAGAGCCCCAGGGAGTCTCCTGTCTCCACCCCCAATGCTAGAATTACAGGCATGCGCCACCACACCCAGATTTTTATATAAGTGCTGGGGATCCAAACCCAGGGCCTCATGCTTGCACAGCAAGCACTTTACCCACTGAGCAATCTCCCTAGCCTTCCACACACTTTCTGTGAGGCTGCTAGTGATCTCACTGTCAAACCACACAGGGTTGAACCACTACACTGAACTTCCCTCCACATGGGACACAAATGGGAATTCTCCCCACTGGCCTTGGGGACACTACCCTGTGCAGCCTCTCCTCCTCTCTCTTCCTTCCCTTCTTTGGTCTTCCATCTGCCTGTGAACACTGGGGCTCTTCACATCCTCTCTGAGCAGTTATGTGGATCTGTTCAGTTTCTTTCCACCAGCAACTCTCTCACAGCACTGCCCGATTCTTTTCTAGTCAGGGACTCTCTCCTAAACACAGAGTAAGTGACAGCATGGGCAGGTACCTGAAGTAAGGCTAAGGTTCAGGGGAGGCCTAGAACTGGGCAAATCTATCCCCATGCTTGAGCACCTGACAGTTGTCAAGGAGGAGAGAGCTGACCAGCCCCACAGCTGGGATGGAGTTCAGGCCCTGACAGTTACCATCGTGTCCGGCTGTCCCCCTGGCCTTCAGAACCAGGGTGTAGGCGAGGGAAGAGCCCAGACCGCCGCTTGATGGGGCTCCGTGACTGGTTCTTCACTGTTGCTGCGGCCACTGGAGGCTGCCGATGAAATCCCCACAGTGAGTGCACATGCCCAGACTCAGGTCTCCTTCCCTCCCCATCTGGTCTATACATGGCTCCTGGTCTGGATCTCAGAAAAGAGCAAGGAGCTGAGACCCCAGTACTCAAGCCACTCACAGCCTCTTTCCTGTGTTTTTAAGCCAAGCCTATAATACCATATAACGAGCCCACAAAACCTGAAACTTTTGGAAGATCACAGGGTCAAGAACTCCAGAGTAGGGCTATATTCTGAGATGGCTGCAGTGATTCAGGGGATTACAAACTGAAAAAGCTAGAGAGCCATGGAGTAGCAGGCTTCAACCTCCTCATCGTGCCAATGAGGAGGCCAAGGGGCCTTGTCAGGGTCTGCTAGGACATCACTGGCAGGATCAAGACCCAGGGCTCCCAACTCTCCATCACTGCTTATGAATAAAGGGACCCAGGCAGGCATCACACTAACATACAGAATGCAAGCCACTAAGCTGGGTCCACATGCACTGGCCAGCCAAAGCTTCTGCTTTGGACACTTGCCCAGCCTCACAGGGGGACAAATGAAGAAAGTCTGAGGAAGGAGAAATAGAAGCCTAGAGTGAGTCTTTACACCTGCTATTCCTCTAACTCAGGCCCAATGCCATTCATGTGCTGTCCAACTTTGGACAAATGGTCAAACTCTCTGGGTCTCAGTCTCTTTAACCACAAGATAGAGAAAATCACCCTGCTCTGCTGACATCATAATCTTCTGAGAGGAGCAAGATAACAGATAGGAAAATATGTGGTAAATTAAGTCATTGCATAAGCCCATTTATAGTAAAAGTCAGCATCTTGGTAAATCTGTTCTGCTACTTTAAAAAGTTGTTTTGGCAGCTGGAAAGATGGTTCAGCAGTTAAAAGCAATGGAGGACCCAGGTTCAGTTCCAAGCACCCACACGGCAGTTAACAACTCAGGTTCCAAGGGATCTGACACCCTCTTCTGGCCTCTGAAGGCATTGCATAACATGGGTGCACTTACATACATAAAAGCACAACACTCATACACATAAAAATAAATAACTTTTTAAGAAATTCCAGTCCATACAAGTCTAACTGATGCCTTATTAATGGACTGGCTATGTCCCTCACCTGCCCAGTCCCTGATTCAAAAGGACTGAGTTCACAGACCCATAGGGCCCTCTCTCCCAGGGAAACTGTATGCACAATGCAGTGATGGAAGCGGGTGAACTTTATATCAGCAAGTAAGTCCTGCATTCAAATCCCAGCTCTTCAGCTTAGCTGGGTGACCTCCAGCAAGATACTTCTCTGAGCTTCCTTTTCCTAAACTGAGAGTACTTCAGTACATACCTCAGACAGCTGCAGGGATTAGGTAAGATTTTGTATATGAATAACTAGCTCAGTGCCTGGTGCACAGCAAGTTGGGGTGGCCACTGTTGTCATCAGTAACAGGGGTCTCCATCATGGGTCCCAAGCCCCTGCTAGTTGACCCAAAGGAGAAGACCCAGCTGTCAAGGAAACTTGGGAACATATTTCTTATATAAGCCAACCCCAGGGGCTGCCTGGCACAGAGGCTCCAGATCATTTTCATCGAGCAGAAGCTGATCATCCCCTTAGGAGCCTCGGTTTCCTCCAACCATCCAGCTTGCCCTGCTCTAGTTGCCTAGACAGACCCAAGGTGGGGATACTCTTCCTCCTCTGCTGCATGTGCTGACCCAGTGCCATGCATGTGCTGACCCAGAGCCCATGGCACTCACCGAGAAGGTAGTCTTGGTGACCTCCATGCTGTTGTGGACGATGCCCCCGCTGAGGCTGCCAGGGATGGTCCCACTGTGCAGCTTCCTCTGGCTGCCCACCATGGTCTCCATGGAATGGCTGCGCACACGGATGGCCCTCTAGGGGGGGGGGGGTAGGTGATGACAAAGCTCTGAGAGTCAGCAACCAGTCCCTCTGGATGACTCTGCCCTTGGGGCCCTCTATGGGGGGGGGGGGTAGGTGATGACAAAGCTCTGAGAGTCAGCAACCAGTCCCTCTGGATGACTCTGCCCTTGGCTCATGTGAACATATGTATGCACACATAAGAACAAGTATGCACACAGACACAGAGTCCTGTACCCCACAAACTAGTGTTTGCAGAACTTTCCATATTCTATCCAGGCAGGGTCTGAGGGCTCAGTGCTGCAAGATGGGCCCTCTTAGGGCTAAGGGATAAGGGAAGCAAGGCTTGGAACTCAGCAGGTCTGGGTGACACTGTCTAGATGCCAACTCAACCTCTCTGAGTTATAGCTTCCTCATCTGTAAAATGAGTAACACACATTCTACACAGGACTGAGATGAAGACTGAATGCTGGTAACAGACTGTACTTTGACTTCTTTATATGTATGGGGGGAGGGAGGAACTCATGCTAGGCAAGCACTGAGCTACAGCCTCAGCCATATGTGAGTTCTTTATTCAGAAAGCTAAGCTTCCTTCCTAAGTGTATGCTGGACTACCACCCCTGCTGTCGCCACATGGATCTTGGTATAGAACCATGTATATCAAAGCCGCATCTTGCCTTTCTCTGGGCTTGCAGAGGCTGAAGACACACTCTCTGGGTCAAACCCTTGAACTCTAAATGGCTGAAGGAAATGTGCACTCAGACTAGTCAAAGCAGGGCCCCTCTTGGGTCATGGTGCTCACTTATGGCCACCAAAGAGAAAAGGGAAATGTTGGAAAACAGAGGCATCCAGGCAAGGACAACAAGGACAGACAGGTTATCACAGTGGATGCAAAAATGAGAACAACTAAGTCACAAGACCACTGAACTCCCAGGAGAGCTGGGCCTGGGGTGACAGCCACTCCCTCAGACTTCTCTATAGGGCAGCACTGCTGTGCACAGTACCAAAGGGGAGTAGTCACAGTGCTTGCAGCTCAGCTCCACCTACAGGAGGATTTCCAGCGAAATGAAGGCCTATAGGATTCTGGCTCCCCCAAGGATAATACTCCTTTTGCTGCAAAGGCTTAAAGAGGAGGTGCATTGAGAAGGGTATTCTCTCCAGTGACCCCAAGCCCTTGTATCATCTCCCTCTGATCATTCATTCATTCACTCAATAACATGGCTAGGTGATACAACCTAGCAGTCAAAAGAACAGAAGTCTCCAGGTGGTGCTGTCAGAACTTATATCTGGGCTCTCTGCTCCCCACCTGTGAGCTGGTGACTCTAGCCAGGTTGCTTGCTGAGATATATGTAGAATGGGATGGAACATGTTTACACCAAGGGGTGGTAGTGAGAACACAGAAGGCTTAGGAGAAAGCCCAGTGTATCACAAATGTGGCTTCTCTTGTGGTTAATATTAAGCACTTGTGTGTTTCCTGTGTGCCCAGCACCATGCCAGGAACTAGACTAACTCTGGTCTAGAGGCCAGAGTGGCCTTGCTTCCAAGAAGTACCCAGAACACATTCCCAAAAGTAGGTCAATAATATAAGACCTAGAGCCTGTGAGGGTGGTCTACCTGTGTTAATCAGTTGTCAGGGCCGCAAGGGCAAAGGTTCATGGATGCCTGTACTATACGTGGTTCGTGTATAGGTACCAAACCCCAGCTCTTCTCGATGGCAGAACCAACATCCAATCCAGTGTCTCCTCTTCCTCCATGGGATGCAGAGTAAGTCAAGATCAGTCTAAGGCACTCATGTAACTCATCCTTAGCCAAAGAAACAGGAGAAAATGTCTGCTGGAGGCTTTGGCAAAGGATTTCCTCAACTATTCCAAAGGATGTAACATGTTTGCACCTGAAAATCCAGGAGCCATTAGGGGCCAAATCAGAGGGACAAAGCTGGCAAGCCAGGGACCCGTGCAGGGGAAAATGGAAAAGAATCGAAGTGCTTTGGCAAACTGAGCCCAAGTCACCTGGGTCTTCTTACTATAATCATTAATGGATTTTCCTCACCGTGCTATGAGCCTATTGAGGCAGAGTATTCTCAGAACCCTGGCTTCACAAAACAGACATGGGCTGAGCTGCATCTTGCTCCCTTCCTTCTAGACTCAGATCAGTACACATCTCATGTGCCAGCTGATAGACATATCCAGAGAAAAGGCAAAGTCCCTTTCCTTCCCTTGAGGCAGTCAGGAAGGGCTCCATCTAAGACAAGGAAGACTTGGCAAACAGCACAAATACTGCTCCAAGGAACACCCTTGAGGCCAGAGATTCTCTAAACCTGGGAATGGAAAGGGGCCTCGTTCTGCCTGTGTTTCTCACCTGACAAGCAACAGAGACTCAGGAAGGCTGCTGGTCAATGTGACAGCCCAGAAAACAAGCCACCGACAATGAGGTGCGTGACCACCAGTCTAGTACCCATCATCATATGGCCTCTTTTGTCTGTGTCAAAGATGCCCCTTGAGGGATGTCACCTCTCCCCCTCACTGGACCACAGAAGAGTTGCCTAGCAACAATGTTCCTAGGATATGATTGCAATAGCCAGCACATTTAATTCACTCCACAAACTAGCATTATAGAACCGTGCACCCTTTGGAAACCTGGGAACATCCAACATATCCTCATGTCCTTGAATGAATAGAGAGGCTCCTTATATGGATCAAGTGCTCCATAAACACCAGCATCTTTAGACACTGTGTCCTCCCTGTATCACCACCACCACTGTAATCTCCAAGAATGACTTGTGAAATTCTTCGTGTATGTTCTGATCTATTCCTCACCATCTCTTTCCAAGAAAGGATCCAGTGTGGGTAACAAGCCCTGTGCAAACATAACTAGCCTAAGGAGCTTCGCATACACAATCTTATTTAATCTTACAAGACTGAGATGTAGAAGGAATAACCACACAGCAGTAAGACCTGAAGTGAGACCCAAACCCACGAACCCAGACCTCAAGATTGAAAATATAAAGTTGGGTATGATAGCACATGCCTTAATCCACAGACTAGACAGACTTAAGAACTGAAGGTCAGCCTGGGCTACATAGTAAGACCTTGTCTCCAAAAGGAAAGGATGAGAGAAAAGAAAGTATGAAGAGACAGAGGATGGAGAAGGTGAAGAGAGAGAGAGGTCACTGGCTACTGAACTAAAGATAATTAGAAACCAGGAGGTTTCAAGGCCTTGCTCTGAAAATAAAAAATCAAAGGCTGATGTCAGAGAGGGCACCAAGTCCTAGGTGCCCGTGGTGCTACTGTCAGCAAGGTGAACCTGAGGGGCCAATCGGCTGATGAAATTCCAGGGAGAGCAGGTTGCCTCCTGCTTTCAGCAACAGGAAGAATAGAGCCCTGGTTCTCCCATTGCTTTGCATATGAACTTGTCTATGACACTGTACAACATGATGATGGTTCCTGCCAGGAGGAGCTGTCACAAGGATGACACAAGACAGTGTGTGTCCAGTACCTGCATGGCTCCTGACCACTCAGGATCCACTCTCCTGCCCCAATCTTAGTGTGAAAGACAGGTGACACCCGCCTCTAAGACCCCAAACAAGGCTTTGATTGGGATGAAATTGTCCAATGATACCTAAAGGGTTTCACATTGCAGTCCGAGGGACAAGTGAATGGAAGTGCTGGCCTTCTCACCTTGGCAGCAGTCAGAAAAGGGAAAAAAAGGTGGTGGCGATGGAACGAGGAAGGCAAGAGAGGGCAGTCATGGAAGCCTTTGCATAGACATGAGGATGTCTTGGGACCAGTTGGGCTGACTCCCACTTACCCCTCGTTCTTCCCTGGCAAAGCTCACCTGTCCTCTGTTCGAGTCCTCCAGGGATGGGCTAGTGGGTGGTCTAACCTTAGGAAAGTTCTTTTGTACGTAGAGTTAGAATCTTACCTAAATTTATAGACCTTGCAGTCTTGGGCCAGCCTATTCTATCATTTCACATGACTGTCCCTTGCTGTCATCCTGGTCAATCACCTCTAGTGCCATCAAACTCTCTCCATCACTGTGGCCTTCCCAGCCCTCAGAACACCTCACTGTTACTTCCATCAAGTTCTCCTGTGAAGTATAAGGACAGAGAAATGGCACCGCTTTCTCATTAGCTAAGTGTGTTGTCACCTCATCTCGGCCCCAGATGGCTTCACAGGACAAGTCCCTTTCCTGCCACTCATACCTCACTTCCTTACAAATGGGTTTTGTGGGTTGTTTCAATTTAACAAACCCACCTTAAGGGATAAAAATCAAGGAGATGAGCACCAAGGGGTGGGGAGGCATGCCTATCCAAACCTTGTAAGTAAAAGAGGCACGGGCCCCTGAGACAGACACTGATGTCTTGCCTGCTGAGAGGGCTTCAAACAGAACCAACTGACAGCGCACTCACTGACTATGGCTCCAAGCCAGGGGCTGAGCGGAGTGAAGCCCAAGGCCTAGCTCTCTCTCTCACTGCACCATCAAAGGTAGTAGAATCATCCAGGTACCCCAATTTCCTGTCTCAGGCAGAGATGCTGAAGGCTTGGAAATGTGACCTGCCCCCCACCACACACACACACCCTACATGCCCACATCCCCCCACCCCCACCCCTGGACTCCATCTGCCATCATTGGTATGGCTCAGTCTGTGGCTATCCACAGGACCCCAGAGAGGCTTTGTCAGGAATGTGTATTACCTCTCCTGCCACTAGGGGTCAGGTGAGACCAATGCACTATCTATCCCAGGCGCTCAAAGGCTGAGAGAAATTAACCTGCTACCTCACTGCTCACTGTGGTCCAAATTCTACCCACCTCCCCTTGTCCTCCAGCCCTGTTTCTCTATGATAAGGTCAGTGGAGGGTTGAAACAGCTCAGTGTTTCTTGAAATGTGGCCCATATGTGCTAAACATCCATATTATGTGGATACCTCAAGTGTCAGCATTTTGTTTCATTAAAGACCAGTAGGTTAGAGATAAGTACCTTCCAAAAGTGACTAATACATATCTCCTCTACCAAGAAAACTGTTCTGCAAAGTTCCCAATAGTATATCCACAGGCCCCGAAGGGTTACATATGTCTATGCTATCTGAGCCACGGAAACACCTTTTGAATGAGTCACTGCTACAGAAGATTAGTCTTTACCAGTATAAATATGGATCTTGTGAAAGGAAAGCCTCAATCACAGTCAGAGGAACTGAAGCAAGGTGTGAAGGACCATCCCACACGACACACACAACTGCACAGTAGGTCTGCTTCTGGGGGTACAGGCAAAGGGCTGTGGCCCTCTGGGGTGAGAGAAGGCCAGTTTGGGGAAAGGAAAGGGGATGGATGGTGGGATAGCCCTCAGTCCTGAGTGTTATCAGTTCCCCCTGCCTATGAGAAGAGAGCTTTCAGCACATTTCCTTCCTGGAATCATTTCAGGCACTCCTTCATTCAGGAGAGACGCCATGGAGGTCTGGAATGAATTCTACAAGAAATGTCAGTTAATTCTGACACCACAACCCTGCCTCGGAAAGAAAAAACAAAACTAGCTGTAGGTTCTGAACTGGGTGGAGCCTTACCTGTGGCCTGCTCCACATGGGAGATCTGAAAGCACTGCCCACTGAGGCAGCACAAGAGAAGCCGTGCTTCCCCTCGCAGGAGGAGGAAAACACTGATCCAGATCATCTACATTCTGAAGGTTCACTCTGTGTACCGGACCCAGTGGCCCCCTCTCCCCCATACTGCAAAACCTCACAATCTCAGTGTGGCTTGAATGAGAATGGCCCCCCACAGTTTGGACTTTGGACTTATGACCAGTGTTGAGACTGTGAAAGACTATGTATGGGGATTTCTTAAATTGGAATAAATACATTTTGCATTATGATATGGTCATGAGCCTATGGGGGCCAGGGAGTGGACTGTGATGGTCTAGATGAGAATGCCCCCCACAGGTTCTAAGTATTTGAATACTTGGTCAGTTGGCACTAAATACTTTAGGAGGTGTGATCATGCTGGAGGAAGTGTGTCACTGGGGTGGCTTTTGAGAATTCATAGCCTTACCTATGTTTTTTTCCCTTTCTCTCCCTCTCCCTCCCTCCCTTCCCCCTCACTCTCCTCCTCCTTCCCCCTCTCCTTCCTATGCCTTCTTGAAGATGTGAGCACTCAATATTCTGCTCCAGCAGCCTCAGCCACCATGACTCTTAAATAAACTCTTCCTTCTATAAGTTTCCTTGGTCATGATGTTTTATCACAGCAACAGAAAAGTAACTAATACACTCAGAGACAGGTATGAAATCTGAATGCAGAAGCAAGTCTATCTTCAACCACAGCCAAAAGGATTTAGGATCAAAAAGAGTTCCCTGGAATACTGACTCCTAGCAAGTCCTGATAGAGTCCTGCAGCACCCCTCTCTTGGAAACCACCTACCCTATAAATACCTCAGACACCCTGGAGTGAAGCACAGATCAACAGCTGCTGCTCCTCAAAGATGTAGAGAACTAGACAAAATGGCCTTAAGCCACTGTCCTTTAGCTTCTGGGCCACCTCATCTATTGGATGCCATGGGCAGAATGTTCACAGCTATAGGCTTTCCCAAGTTACAGAAATACTTAAAACCCTTAAAAAAATCACTAGATTTAAAATATAAAAAGAAGCTTGCAAAAGTCACAGCAACAAATGCTTCATAAATGTCTACAAATCACTGTATTGTGCTAGCTAGTCAACGGCAGCTCAGTTCTGATCATTCCACACAGATGAATTTACTGAAGGATATGGAACACTTTGATAGGTGTGATGAGAGGTGGGGCAGAGCTCAGAAGACCTCTAAGTGGTGGCTCCTCTGCCTTCCCCAGATCCAAGCCTGTTTTCTATAACCCTGTCTCATATTCACCCTCCTCTTAGCTAGGCCAACCTATCTGGCTCCCTCTTCCTTCCTCTACTTGTCCCTCTTCCTTGCTTGTCTCAAAATCAAACATAAAACAGAGTCTGGTTATGTAGCCCAAGCTGGGCTTGAACTCACCACCCTCCTGCTTTAGCCTCCCAAATGCTGACAGTACAGGCATGTACCCTGGCTCCTCTTACATCTTGATCTCCCAATTTCTCCTCTTTCAGCCTGGCTGCCACTGTCACCAGAACTAAACCAGATGCCCTAGGAATCTCCCATCAGCCTGGACAAGCAGCTCGGCACCTCCCCCGACGGTCAGAAGGAATCTCAGCAGCTGACTCAAACTAGGGAAGGCAGAGCCATGCCCTGCTCCCGGCTGTCCAGCTGGGCAGTGAGAGACTGACCCAGGCCTGCCCAGGCCTGGCCAGCATGAGTGGAATCTTTACAGTCAGAGACTGGGAGGGAAGATCATGTAACTGTTAAGAATTCGGAGACCTGAATTCAACTCTGGCTCCAGGGTGACCTGGGACAAATTATTTAGTCTCTTTGTGTCTTTGTTTCCTCACATATAAAACTATACCCATAATTATTAAAACTGAGTATAAATTACTATGCCAAATTATTGCATCCCTAACACGAGCCTTCCCCATAGAGCACTAAGGACAGTTGGGAAGTTTAAGATAATATGTATCCTACACAACACAGTTAATATGTTCCCTGTAATAACAGCTAAGGCTTTTAATCATTTACTGTGTCACAGGCAATCTGCAATTTCTAGGCATTATTTCAATGAACTCTCACAAGAACACCGTGACAGAAGTCCAATTTATCATCTGAGTCCTTACCAAAAAATCTATAGCTTAGAGTCTTTAAAGAGTTTGCCTAGCATCACAGAGCTGGGGTTTTAAAACACATCTAACCCCAGCCAGGAGTGGTGGCACACACCTTTAATCCCAGCACTTTGGAGGCAGAGGCAGGCGGATCTTTGTGAGCTTGAGGCCAGCCTGGTCTACACAGTGAGTTCCAGGCCAGCTGGGGCTACAGGGAAACCCTGTCTCAAAAAGACCAAAAAAAAAAAAAAACCAAAAAAGAAAACCACATATAACCCCAACCCTAAACACTGGCCCCTGAATGTGATGCTTATCAATCTCACTCTGATAGGCAACCCAGAAGAATCTTGAACTAAGAGTCAGCAAGTGTGGGTTTGAAACAAGGTTCCACCTCTGGGAACCTTGTCCCTAGACTCTGCAGCCTCTTGTAGCCTGTCCCCACATGTGTTAATGGACATAACAAGAAATGACTATCCAGCCACAGGCACAGGATTATGGCCATGGTCAAATCAGATGCTGATATAAGTGTTGTGTGGACCAACAAGTGCTCAGCCAAAAGACGACAACAAACTTTCTCTGCCCACATTAGTCTGTGGCCATCCAGGCTCCTTCGGGCACTTTTGGGGACAGGTAGCTTCCGTTTCCTTTAGCAGCCCATTCTGGTTAGAATTCTTCCTTTTTCAGTACCAGAGGGACTTGCCTGTGGCTCCAACCACCACCCCACTGCAGCTGCTGAAGACCCCTAAGACTGTGTGGCCTTGTTCCTACCATTCTTCCCTGGGCTCCCCAAGCAGAGAAAGAGGCAGCTGAAAGCAGCAAGGTTCTTGGTTTGTGCCAACTCCTTTCCTCTGTCCACTCATTTGCCTGCCTAGGGGACTATAGGAGATGACCCCAGGCAAACGAGGTCATGGAGGTTACTGGGGTCACAGCTGACTGCTCCAACCTCACACTCATGATGCCCTTGCTCTTTGCAAACACTTAGGAGACCCCTGCCCTATTCTGTCACCTCTAACTGGCCCTTAGGTTCTGAGGCTAGGGTCCCAATGACCTTAGCTGCTTCCTTTTTTTGCCTCCTGCCACTGCAACCCCCAGTCACCCTAACAGCCATACCTTAAAAGACTCCAAGAATCCTCCATGACCCCCATTCTCAAACTTGTCCTCCTCAGGGCCCAGGCCCAGCATGGCCTGAGTGTGTATGTGGAGTTCATCATGAAGGTTGTCCAGGAGGGCAGCCCGGGTCCGATCCTAGGAAGGAAGGGTATCTGGGTCCAGGAGTTGGTACCAACAGCAGAGATGTGAGCCTTCCTCATGGGGTCCAGATGCCTGGTCTGAGGGCTGCTGTGCTGAAACCAGTTCCTGGCCATGGTGGAAGCTTAGAGGAGACTGAGCTTCTTGCTTCTGTCCTTTTCTGCCCAGTGCTGCAGTTAGCACAGATGCTCTGGACCATTTCCTGCTCTCATCCTGCTGCCCCTACTCCCTGGCTATCCCACCTCACCTAAGGCTTGTGCTGGGGACACCCCACCTATACCTTGGCCCAAGATCTACATCTGCAACCCACCAGTCCAAGGCACTGCTCCAACCAGGTGTCCACCAAGGCCACACATGCTCCATCTAGGAGGTGTCATACACACAGGCAGGACCACCCTTTCAGCAGGCCACAGTCCTAAAAGAACTCATCTCCCAATCCTCCCCATGCTATCACAGGACCAAAACTGAAACCCTAATAGTCACTCTACAATTCCATTTCCCCACCTTTATTTCCAGAAGTCTATTATGTCTCCCCAACCCTGGCCCTGAAGGCGTGCCCAACCTTTTAACATTGTGACACAACATTGTCATCTATTAGAACTGTACAATGAGTTACACACACCATAAAAAAAATGTCATGAGGTTTTAAAAAGTCTATGACTTTGTATTGGGCCACGTTCATGGCTATCCTGGGGCACGTGTGGCCTATGGAACCTCCATGTAGTCTGTCAATCTTTGCTGAGTTTCTTAGTCTCCTGTTAATTGCTTCAACTGGCCACTTTTCTGTCCTATCTCCCTTCAACCTCTCCTCCTCACCACTGACCAGCATGCCTCTAACATGTGCATCAAACATGTCACTACCACCTAAGAACTTAGCACCCATCACCTGTGACAGCACTTCTCTCCCTGATCCAACTGCCTTCCATAGTTAAGTCACACCTTCCAACCTCCTGACTCAGAGTCATAGATTCTGTTTGGCCTTTGTTTGGCTGTTCCCTATGCCTGGAATGACCTTCCTCTTTCTTCTTACCAAAAGCTTCATTAGACATCAAGATTCAGCAGCTCAAGAGACACCTCCTCCAAGAAGCCTTCCTCAAACTCTTGGTCCTCCTTAGCAGAAGCTGGTTCCATCATGGCCCAGAGCTTGTACACGGTATTATAAATTATAACCATCCCTTCAGTAAAGACCCTTCCTACCAGCCTGTGATCTCCATAGGGACAGAAAAGATGTCTCATTTATTCTTGTATTCCAGTAACAGATAAAGACCCAGTGCATAATAGATGTTCAATAAACAACTGGTGATTGGCCAATGAGACCTGGAGTCCAGACGGAGTTATTAAAGAGTATCCAGAACCAACACAGGGCTGAAGGGGCCAGGCAAAGATGCTCAACTGAACAGGCCTCAAGATGAAACTCCTGAGGGAGGCTGGCTAAGATCAAGTCCAGAGGACACCTTCAGTCCTGCCCTCTCACCTCCAGCTTGGCAAACTTGTCCGACTTGCAGCAAGCATTCTCTGCATTGGTAAGCTTGGTAAGTAAAAACTCCCGAAACTCTGGACCCTGTAAAAGAGAATTCTCCAACCCTCAGCTGCAGACACAAAGTTCCCAGACACAGTTACAGGAAGACACAACAGGGGATCTGGGGACAGCCCGATAGGACCATTCTGGTATTTGGTCATTTCTAGCCAAGGCCAGGCCCATCAGCTAATATATCAACATAGAAGCCAGCTTCCCCATGCTGGGAAACCATATGGCACCTGGGTGACTGGGGTCAATTCTGAGGCTCCTGGGCCAAGAGCATGGTATAAAAGCCCTTTCACTAGTAAGAAGGCAACCCCACCTCCCTTTCCAACAAGCGGCCCTATATTGGGCCAGACTGGCACTGAGGGGGAAGGAGACCTCTACAAAGCTACAACAGGGCCACCTCAATGCTTCCCGCCCATGTTCAAACCTAACCCCACCATTGACTCTCAGGTGGAGGGGCCTGGGGTCCTGGATGACAGGAATGGAAGCAGAGGGTCTTACCTTCTGGAAAACAGGTGGGCTCGGCAGAGGGGGACCAAAGGCAGGTACATCTTCACGTGCAGTGACTGAGACCTGAATGAAACAGTCCTGTGAGGGAAGGGTAGGAAGAGGAGTCCTGCTTCTTACAGCAGACCAGTTCACCTCTGCCCTTCCCTGCCCACTTCTGCCCTTCCCTGCCCACTTCCTCTCCCCTTCCCTGTCCAGAATACAGATAAACTGTGTGTGCATCACCAGCAAGGCCCACGTGATGCTCCCATAGTGGGGGCTGGGGGGGAAGGGTTAAAGCTGCCCTCATCCTTCCCTCTGCCTTCCTAGGGGCCAGAAGCAAGTGTGCCAAGATGGTGCCCTGGTCTGAGGAACAGAAAGGAGACCCTGATTAGAAGGCAGCACAGGTGCCCAGGAGGTGTCATCTCATTGCCCCATGGCATTGTGGAGTTCAACCCAGAGAATGTACCAGAGAAGAGGTGTCCCTGCTTTACTGACTAGGAAACAGATGCCCCCGAGACACAGAACCAGAATGCCCCCGACCCCGAATCCAGAGAGAGGGAAACAGAGAATCCAGACCTCTCCAGTCCAGCTCTGAGGTTCTTCCCCACCAAACCAACTCCCAAACATGGCCATATATCAGACTCACTTTGAGTGCTTAAAAAATAAATACTGGGGGCTGGAGAGATGGCTCAGCAATTAAGAACACTGGTTGTTCTTACAGAAGACCCAGGTTCGAATCCCAACACCCACATGGTAGCTAACACCAGTTCCTGGGGATCCAACGGCCTTTTTTGTCCTCTGCAGACATTGCATGACACAGATACACTTAAATATGTGCAGGCAATACACATATACACATAAAATAAAAATAATAAATATTAAGCCAGGCATGGTGGTGCATGTCTTTAATCCCAGCACTTCCTTGGTTTAAATAAAACATTTAAAAATAAATAAATACATACATACATACATACATACATACATACATACATACATACATACTGGGCCAGAAGAGTACACTTACATACATGCAGACAAAACACTTGTACACATAAAAAACATAAATGAAAAAGCCCATCTTTGACAGTATAAAGCTGGAGAACATGTCGGCCCACTGGTTCCTGTATACTTGGCCAGTGCTATCTATATGGTGCAACCTTCCCAGGAATGTGGCCTGGCCTCCACACTTCCCACAAGTGTGTAGGGCTGGTTCTTCCCATTATTTAAGTGCACCTGTGTATTCATTTTCTCATCTTTCCTCCCAATCACAACTCAGGCTCAAGAGCAGGGACCCTGTCTACTTGGCTTATCTCTGAACCTAGAAGACAGCATAAAAACAGGGGCTAAGGAGCGAATGTATCGGCACATCTTGATTCAGTGCAAACATCTTCTCATATACTACAAATCTAGGACTGCTTGCCGATTGTCCCTGCTGATTTTCAATTGGAACATTTTCCTCTCATCTGTTCATAATAATGCTTCATATATTGTACAATATTAATCCCACGTCTATTTTATGTTTTGAAAATAATTTGAATTTTCATTTACTTGACTTTCTATTTCTGTTATGCAGATGCTTAAAATTTCTGTATGGTCATATATGTTAATCTTCCAATCATTGCTTTGGGGCCTAAGTAATTTTTAGGAAAGTCATCTTCCACACTAACAACTATGTTCTTTATCTTCTGCTATTTTGGTAATTTAAAGTCATCAACTCTTCCAGATTCTGTGTGCACAATATCAGGAACATATCAAACTTTCCCTCCCAATATTACTTACTGAATAGATTGCCCTTTCCCAATTCAGTGTTTAAAATTTTGTAATTATATCGGAATGAATTATTATATTTATTTTATGTCTATGAGTATATTGGCTGCATGTATGTAAGTATATCTGTGTTATGCAATGCCTGAGGAGGTAAGAGGGCATCAGGTTACCCTGGAACTGGAGTTACGGATGGTTGTTAGCCACCATGTGGGTGCTAGGATTCAAACCCAGGTCCTCTGCAAAAGCAGCCAGTGCTCTTAACTGCTGAGCCAGCTCCCCAGCCCCAGTGTTTATGTTTCTTGTAAACTAAGCATTATCTTCCTTATACCCCTCAAAGCACAAATGAATCATGGCTTGCTGAAAATAAATAAATAAATAAATAATAAATACTGGGCCAGTAAGACGTTTTAGCAGGTAAAATCACCCATCACACAAGCCTGATGGTCCACCAGAAGAGAACCAATGCTCAAAAGCTGACCTCTGATATCCACACATGTACCACAACACTATGTGTGCCCCCATCATACATATCCACACACATTAATAACAAATTAAATAAAATTTAAAATGGTGGGAGGAATAGTGGTTTTTTTTTTTTTTTTTTTTTTTTTGTAAGTACTGATTGAGAGCTTGGGGCTCCCGGGAGCTTTAATGCAGCCAGTGGACTCAAGCCTGGAGCCCTGGCCCCACACACAGGATTAGCCACTGTGGCTGAGATTTGAACAGAATGCCCAGGACCTTGGCTGGGAATGAGGATGGGAGACATCCTGGCTCTTGCTATGTGGCTGGACTGTGAGCGAGAGTGTCCAGGGCTCCCCACAGGGGCTGCCTGGGAGCAGGCAGGCTCTGCTGCTCACCTCCTCTGCATGGAAGTGCCCTGATTTCAGCTGCCCTCAGCCCCTGGGGCTGCAGGGCTCTGGGGAGGCTGTCCCATCCCTTCACCAGCAGCTGTTGACGTGAAGGCCCTGGCATGCTGCCAGCCTCCCCAGCCTGTGAAGTAGGACAGATGCAAGAGTCTGCCAGATCGGGTGAGCAGGCAGCCTGGGGCTCAGCCAAGACAAAACCCAGCCTGCCAGGTCCAGAGGGGAGGAAGCAGAGCGTTGGTCTGTGGTGCTTTGTCGACCCCAAGCTCAAGGCTGTCTGGATGGCCCAAACTGAAGTACCCAGAGTCAGGAAATGGTGTGTATTCACTGACAAGATTTTTGGCTAGGCCTCAGCTGCCAAACACAGATGTGACCCATCATGGTCCTCCTACCCTCACTGTGCACTGGTGGCCCAAGTCTAGAATTCCAGCCTGGGAACCAGAATTTGGTATGGAGTACGGCCACTGAGAGGCTGCCCCACTGCAGGTATCTGGGCACTTGGGACAAAGGACAGAAGCAGGCCCAGCTGTTTTACCTAGCCTGTTCCCTCTCCTCAGACTTCTGTTAGTCTGTGCTGACCAGCTAAGTGACTCAAATGTGTCCTTAAATCCACCATGTCTCCTACCCAGAAAGGTCCTCAACTTTCCATGGTGGCAGCTGGATCAGAGGGAGAAAGATCCAGGTCCTTCCTAGTGATGTCCATCCATCACCCATCCTCATCCCAGGCCCTCTGACCAGGCAGCCCGGCCTTCTCATCCCTCCTCTTGCCTTGCTTCTGAGTTGACCTTGTTTCTAAACCCAGCCATGTCTGAGAGGAAGCAGTGGGAACAGGTGCTCTGGAAGCTGCATCTTGGATGCTCTAAGGAAGAAGGATCTCCTTGTTGGGGCCACCATGATGCCTGGGGGAGCTGAGAGACAGGACTAGAGACCCAGCAAAGCCCCCAAAATGCCTAGGGGCAACCTGCCACCTCAGATGACCTGGTAGAGTTGTCCAAGCAACAGGTGAGTCCTGATGGAGAGAGGGAGGCCCTCAGTAGCTAACTGCTTCACAGAAGATTCCTGAATCTTGGGCTGAACTTCAGGAGTAGGGCAGGGTGGCCCCTGGGGGTGGGGATGGGGGATCTCAGTGATAGCTAAGCTAGAATCTCTTTCCAATGTGGAGAGATGAGAGCTAAACTAGCAATCCAATGTCACATTTGTGTACATGTAGGGAGCTGGTTTCTCACCTGTTCCAAAGGTTCCTGGGAAAAATTCTAGCTCCTCTGTGGCTCCTTGGTTTTGTGACCTCAGCTTTTAAGTGCGCTCAGTTATAGCCTCTATCCCTTCCCTATGAACAGGTTAATGGGCCTTGTTAGGAGTTAAGAAGACTATTCTAGAGCCAGTGAGATGGCTCAGCGGGTAAAGGCACTTGCCTACAAGCCTAACAACTGGAATTCAATCCCTGGGACCCACATGATGGAAGGAGAGAACCAGCCTCTACACACACACTGTGGCACACACACACACACACACACACACACACACACACAAATTAAAAAATAAATAAATAAATAAATGAAAAGAAGACTAATGTAACAGAGCCCAGCACAGAACAGGAGCCATTGCCAGTTACTGTCTCTGCTTTCCCTGCCAGCCTACATGTAGTAAAGGGCATCTGAAATACAGAGTGCCCCAAACCAAACAGCAGCCCACCACTCCTACCCCACCTCTGTCTCTGCTCCCACTGATGTTGGGGCTAGAAGCTCATAAGTCTACCTAGCCCAACTGCCTCATTGTGTACAGATAGAAACAGAGGCCCACAGGTGGAAGGGGCTGGCTCAAGGTCACACAGCAAAAACAGAGAGGACCAGCACCGTGCCACTCTGCATGGGGTCCTTCCTCCCTTTACTCGTCTTTCTTGTTGCTCACCCTCCTTGGTGAGGCCTTCTGAGCACTGCTCGGCCCAAGGAAATCTCTCCCTCCTTTACCTCAGGCCTCTGAGCCTATAGAGTTCAGCTAAGATCCTCCGTCGGCCAGGTTCCCTGAGGAATCTACCTAGGTCTGCCTCATAGTTTGCACATCACCCACAGTGCTTCTGTGGGCTGCTGGGGAGTACCTTGGAGGGCACAAAGCAAAACTCTGTCCCAAAAAGAAATGGATTATTTAAACTGCCCTCACTGCCTCCCCTGTTCCTTTCCTGGGGTCACAAAGCCAATTCTGTATCATCCTTGTTCAAGTTGCACCCATGTTCCCCAGGATGCCTGGCACACAGTAAGCACTGAATAAGGAATCTTGCTCCCACCAACAAATGAACCAGACAGCTGTAGAGTGAATGCCTATTTAGGTCAAAACAGGTGATGCCTAAAATTGCCCGATGTCAGAGGAGCAAGACCATGTGCATAAAGAAGACCACTGACCTCAACAGGAGAGATTGTTTGGCCACAGACTTGTGGGGACTAGGCCTTCCTATGGGGAAAGCATGCACATATGTGCAGGTGTGGGTTGGGGGTATATGTGCGAAGGACAGCTTTAGGAAGCAAGTGCCTTCCTCCACCATGGGTCCCAGGGATTGAACTCAGGTCACCAGCCTTGTGCAGCAAGCACCTTTATCAACTGGGCCATCCAGTCAGCTCTAATTTTTTGAGAACAGGCCCCTCCACTGAACCTAGAGCTCCCCCATTCAGCTCGACTGGCTGACCAGTGAACCCCAAGGATTTTCTTGTCTCTGCTACTCCAGTACTGGAATCACAGGCATGAGCAGCTTTTTATGTGAGTGTTTGGGATCCAAACTCAGGCCTTCATGATTGTATGGCAAATACTTTACTGACAGCCATTTCCCCAACCTGTGGGCTTTTTCCTTTTTTTAAGGCTCACATTTGGTTTTAAAAGTTGATATAAAGCCAGGTGTGGTAGTGCATGCCTTTAATCTCAGCACTCGGGAAGCAGAAGTATGTGGATCTCTATGAGATGGAGGCCAGCCCGATCTACATACCAAGTTCCAGGCCAGTTGGGGATACAGGGAGACCCTATCTCTAAAAAAAAAAAAAAAAAAAAGGGCCAGGCATGGTGGCACATGCCTATAATCCCAGCACTTGGGAGGCAGAGGCAGGCAGATCTTTGTGAGTTCAAGGCCAACCTGGTCTACGTAGTGAGTTCCAGGACAGCTGGGGCTATAGGGAGACCCTGTCTCAAAAAGACCAAAAAAAAAAAAAAAGTTGACATGATTTTGTACTTAGTGCATGTAGGTCTGCACTGACAGAAGAGTAGCAGAGATGGCTATGTAGCTGGCTAAGGCATTGAGAACCTCAGAAACCAACAGGGGCCTGGGGAAGTATCTGGTATACATTTTCAGACCTCACTGTCTCCCATTAACAATAACAGGTTCCTTTCTCTTCACCCACAAGATTCCCTTTGGGAATCTGAACTCAGGCCTCTCTTCCCAGGAAATAAAGAAAAACAGAAACACAGCACTTGATTTCTATTTGCCAGGAGTTCAGAGATCAGCTAGCACTCACCCTAAAACCCCCACCTCAGTCTCTCTTTCAGGGGTCCCAAGGTCCCCCAAACTACTGGGACATGGTTGGATGTGCTGTCCCTGAAGTTAGGGAAGAAGACGGAAGGTGGGAGGTGGGAGGTGTGGAGGAAGCCAGGAGGGAGGGCAGGGCAGGTATCTTTGTCTATCTGATACTGAGGACTGAGGGTTCAGTGGTAGGCACATTTATGCAAAAACGCCTAACATATTCTACACATATCCACCCATCAAAGCAAGTCCTCCTTTCCCTTTTAAATTAACATGTATTAATTACACATATTAATGGACTTCAGTATATCTCTACACATGCATACAGTATACACTGACCAAATCCAGTTTATTTTTATCTCCCCTCCTGCCACATCCTTCCCAGCCTTTATTTTATTAATCATTATTCTACATTCACATTGACTCAACTTCCTCTGTTTTGTTTTGTTTTTTAATTTTTGTTTATCTTTTGTTTTAAGACAGGGTTTCACCATGTAACGCTGGCTGGCCTAAAACTTAATATATAGACCAGGCTGGCCTCAAACGCACAGAGATCCACCTGCTACTAAGTAGAGTGCCGGGATTCAAGTGCCCCTGCCCCTGCCCCTGCCCCTGCCCCTGCCCCTGTCCCTGCCCAGATTTGAGGATTACAGGCTTGCACCACCAAGAGTGGCCAGGATGACAATTTTTAGCTTTCACATATCTTATGAAAAGAAACTAAAAACTAGAAGTCCCTGGTCAGCAGGCTTACACAGGGTCTTCCATTCTGCCTTACTACAGTCTTCAAGATAAATCATTCATTTGTCTACATCCTCCAGATCTGGGCCCAGGGTCAACAAGGCCCTTTAGCCTCCTCTTTCTTCCCTTTCTTCCTTTCTTTCTCTCACCTTTCCAAGCAATCCTCTCCATCTTTCCTCTTTCTTCCCTCCTGTTCACCCTTCCTCTAGTAAATTGTATCACCAGATTCCAAACATGGCACTTGGGGCTTCTGGACCATCAACTGAGATGGAGGCAGCAAGATGGACACCTTGAGAGGTCCCAAGAGCCTGGCTCCAAATCTCAGAAACCCGACAACTCATGGGAACTCAATGTTGTTAAGAATGAGTGTCCCTGTTATCACTGAGCCCCCCAAGCCTGGGGAGGTGCCTTGAGCACCTCCTTCCCCCATAATGGTTTTCTCCTTACCTTGTAGGATGGGGTCTCTGTGCCTGGGCTGTCAGCCTGAACAACAATGTAGGCATGTAGGAAGTTCGAGGCGATCATATCTGGAACAAATGGTGTGTTTTCTTCTTGGAAGATGATGGCTACAATGTCATTCCCAATGTGTCTCTTTCTCTGCAGCTAAACAAAAAGTGTTCCATCGTTACAGAAAGGACCATCCTGAAAAAAGAAAGGAACTGAACAGGAAACACCTCATTCCCCTGCCTTTTAAACCCTGAACTCTGAGGCCTCACTCTCAGAGAGCTGCATCTTTCAATCATTCCACCAAAAGGAAAAAGGGGGGGAAATGCCCAGTTGTTAGGTAATAACTGGCACAAGTGTTACTGAGTTTAAGAACAAAGTCCAGACTCGGGACCCTGGAGAGAATGTATAAAAGATGAGGCCAGATTCTGCCCTGGGAGAGCCATAATTGTTCTGAAAAACACACACACACAGAGAACACTAATCATTGCCAGCCGAGGCAGGAAGTAGCAGGCAGCTCCAGGGGCAGAGAGCAGGGTGACACCAGAAGGCCTGATAGCAACCCACAAAGGCTTCCATAAGACAGGTGCAGGTGATGGGAATGGGGACCAGCAGGGTCAAGGAAAGGGTCATTCTACTAGAAGTGAGAAGAACATGCTTAGACAGATCCAGGTCACCTAGCTGGGGGAGGTAGAGGATGGGGAAATCCAGTGGTGCCAGGTGCTCTGGCATATGATCTAGGTTACATGCCTCTACTGTGCCCCAGGAATCATGTCAGCTATTCATATGGGGAATTTCAAATGTTACGGTCTTCCTGTACATCAGGTCCAGTGTACACACCTGCCTATGCATTTGGTTCTTTATTAAACAGCTACTGAATGCCAGGCCTCCACTAACCCTTTTAACTTGAGTTTCTCATTTACTATCTGCTATACTCTGAGCACCGTACTGGGCACTTTTATGCAAATTTCCTTACTTACACACACACACACACACACACACACTCACTCACGAGCAAAGACTTATCACTGATTTGGTCCTGTGCCACATGTCAGGCTGAAGTGGCCTGAGATAACAAACCCCAGGCTGGAGCAGCAGGTGAGGGAGACTGTTTGGAAGCAGAGACCAAAGGTGAGACACCAAGAGAAAACCCACTTTGGCTACACAAGGAATCCCTTCCATTTGTTTCTGGAACATCCAGTTGTTATTTAGGAGCCAAATCACAATTTTGTTTTACCAATCTCCTTTTTCCCAAGAAGTCCGGCATTGTTATTCAGGGTTTTGCATCTCTGCTCCCTCCCCACTACCCTGCACAGACATCGACAGGTCAGAGTTTGGGCAATGCCCATCTGCCCTTCTTGTGTTCTCAGACACAGGAAAGGGGCAAGCAGGGGGATGGGGCGACTGGCATCACAACCACTAGGACCAGTGCTGGTCTGGGCAGGCCAGGCCCTCCCCAGAGATGTGTGGCTCACAGCAGCAAGCTGGGAGAGAGCTGTGAATGCTGAAGTCACAGGTCTCACAGAGTCCCTGGGTTAGGGACAGGAAGCAAGGAAGCTGAGAGGATTCTCACGCAAGCTTCACACAGGGCAGCAGGGAAGCAGGACTAGTGGCCAGGGGACAACTATTCCACACGCAGCAGTCACATGCCAGGCAAGGATCACAGGAGCCCAACATTCAGGAACTCACAGAACCCCACAGCAGCCCTCTGACACAGGTGCGACCCTGCAACCCTGCAACCACTGACATGCTTTGAGTCAACACACACTTAGGTGGCTCTGCGGCTTCCAACTCCCGTCTGCAGGCCTGCCATGCTGTCCTCACCCGCCTTTGCTTTCCTCCCAGCCTCTCATTGACTTCCCAGTGGAAGATTTTATTTTCTGTGCTGGGGATAGAATCTGCATGCTAGACAGTATTCTATCACCGTGGGACACTTTATTAAGGAAGTGTTTTAACACCCCAGGCTGCAGTGTCCCATCTGTCAAGTGACCTGCAGCCCAGCCTTGCGTTCTGTACCCGTTACCTGCTGTGTGTCGCCCTCCGTGAAGGGCAGCTTTGTAGAGACATGAAACATGATCTCCCGGTCCCGGAAGGTTGTATACACCGACTCCACCCCTGTCTGTCCGTGGGTCACATCCAGGCCTCCTCGAAACCTGACAGTAAACCAGGGCAAGGGAAGGAGAGGAAGAGTGAGGTGAAGTGGCACTGTGGTGCTGCTAAGGACATGTGGTAGACAGGTGGATGAGCAGACAGGGTGAGCTGAGGTGAGAATCAGGTGAGATGGCTGGAGCTGTATTCTGAGTAGCCTAGTGTTCTCTACCCGTAAGTCACCTCCATAAAAGACAAATGCAGACCTGGTGGCCACATGTCTGTAAGCTCAGCACTCCACAAGCCAAGACAGAAAGATCCTGAGTTGAAGGTCAGCCTGGGCTATAGAGTGAGACCTTGTTTTAAAACACAACCAAACTAATTAATTTACTAATTAATTTAATTAAAAAACATCAGGCCCTCTTCTTCAAGCCTTGGTTGTGCTTCCTGCACATGGCTGTTCATACGGGAAGCAAAGTTGTCCCTCTACAATCCCGGGCAAAATGTCTTGGTTATCAGCTCAGGGCCAGAGCATCCAGTCACACTCCTGGATGAGGGTGAACCCATCAGAGCTGTGGAGCCTGCCAGAAAAGGGGACAGACACTCCACTCTGAGCAGTCAGTCCCAGTGGAGACCAAACCACACAGAGGCCCCTTCACTGCATCCTCCCAGACAGGAAGGAGAAACAGGAAGGAACTGGTCGTCTCCCAGGAGCCCTTCTGCCTTCACAGAGATGGCTGTCAGCTTGGGACCACAGTTTTTAGCAAGAGGGAAAGAAAACAAATACAGCTCCCTTCAAGAAAGTAAAATAAGGAGGCTGCTGAATGCCAGGCACCAGACCTGAATCCGAGCCAGAAAATGCTCCCCGGCCCACAGGGTAGAACAGACACTGAAGCAGCCGAGAGTTCAGGTTCAACACTTGCTTCTGGGACTAAGCACACAACCTTGGGCATATCACTTCATCTCTGTAAGCCTGTTTCCTTTCTCAGTAACATAAAGGGATGGGTCTACATCATCTCTAGAGTCCTTCAGGGACGAATATAACATATTCTACCACATCTTTACATCATCAAAATCAGGATGTGTCTCATAAGCCAGCACCTCATAGTGAGACAGAGTATGTGGCATTAGCGTAAGTGCTCCACATACACTGTCTGTTTTGATCCCCCAGTGACCTTGTAGGGTAGTCTTCTTATTCTCCCTTTTTATAGATGAAGAAACTGAGGCCCTGTCCAGGTAAAGTCACTGGCCCAACATCTTCTAGCTAGTAAGTGGCAGGGGTGGAATTTTACCCTGGTGTGACTGGCTCCAGAGAGCAGTGGTAACTTCAAAGCGGGGAGAAGATGGAGGAAGGGGGAGAAAAAAGGAGAAGGCAGCAGAGGAAGAAAGCAATCACTGAACACCTACTGCACACCAGACAACTGGACTTAGTGCTCTCACACAGGATGTCAGGGCTTGGTTATCTCAGCTCCAGGGCAGGAGGTGAATTCCAGAACTTTCAACCATATGCCAGGCACCTGGTTGGACGGGTCCAAAATATTCCCAAATGCTGTCTTTTCCAAGGAAAATCAAGAGCCAGAGTCTTACAAACAACAGCCATAATATTCTAAATCTTTCTGTCCACTTAACGGACCATACACTGTTGCATGGATTTCTGCCTAGAGGGTTATTATGTTTGCATGAAGTCTTAATTAACTATTCTCCGCATATTGTCCAAATTGGGTCATTTCCTTCCAAACTGCACAGGGTTCTCTTTCGCCTGCCAGGCAAGTAGTAGGGAAGGTGGATTCATTGCACTCAGTCTGAGCCAAATGTAATTAGGAAGGTAAACCTCTGAGGGAGCAAGCTCATCACTCTTCTCAAAACCAATGCTTTCAGCCAACCTGCCATGCCAGATTAGCCCCAGGACCACTGATTCTTCAGGATATAGGAACATGAGGAGGGACCCGAAGCTGGAAAATGTTCCCATGTTCCCCAAGGACAGAGTTGTTGGCCCTGACCCTCTCCTGACAACCCCATCCATGGAGGCAGTCAGCCCCTGACCAAAAGTCACCCTTTGAAGTCCTGGAGTGTGATCGTGTCCCCAAGCAGGTCCAAGAACTCTTTGAAAGCTGGGCTCTCCTCGTTGTTCCCAAATAGCTCCTCCTCCAGGGTCTGAAAGAAACAGGATGAGGCATAGAATCAAAAAAGGCATTCTGGGCGCCGAATCAGAAAAGGCATTCTGGATGCTGAGTGAAAGGGTTGTCCAGACTCCAGTCCTTTCTTCCTTCCTCCCTCCCTATGTCCCAGTACACCTGTCACAGCTGTCCTCAGTTGGAGGATGGGCTAATGGAGGAGCACTCAGAGGGATGGATGCTGGGGCTGGTTAAGGAGGTTTTCTAGTTCAGCAATACCAGTGTAAAAGGCCAAGCTGAGATAAAGAGTTCTTAGGCCTGATGCCAAAAACATGACCCCCAAGTGAAAGACTGGTCACTGAGCTTCCAGAGAAGAACTAGTCTTGAGGCTACAGAAAGAGCTCTCAAAAGTCTACAGTAACCAAAACCACAGTAAGACCCTGCTTCACACCCACTAGGGTGTATCTAATAGAGAAAGGCAAGAACACGTGTGGATGAGGAAGTGGAGAAAGCTGGACCCTTTCCACTGCTGACAGGAACGTGAATGGAGCAGCTACTCTGGGAAACAATCTGGCAGCTCTTCAAAAAGCCAAACACAAAGTTATCATATGACCCAGCAGTTCCACCCCTAGGTATGTACCCAAAAGATATCAACATGTGTGCACGCAAAAACTTGTACATGACTGTTCACAGCAGCACTGTAGGTAACAACCCACAAGTGGAAATGACCCAGACATCTAGCAACTTAAGAACAGATTTTTTTGAAACGTGGTATATTCACACAAAGGCATATTGTTTGGCCTTACATAAGGAATGGAATACTTGCTGGCACATGCTACAACACAGATGAACCCTGGAAACATTTTGCTAAATGAGACCAGACAGAAAGGTCACATATCACACGCTTGTACTTATAGAAGGTTCAGAATAAGCAAATCCACGGTGACAGAAAGCAGATTATTGGTTGCTGGGAGCTAAAGGGAATGCGATGGAAGAGGACTTGGGTACAGGTGTTCTTTTGATAATGATGAACATATTCTGGGTTGGATCATTAATGTTGCCCACTGTGTGATTATACTGCAGACTACCCTGTGGAGACATAGCTCACTTACTACTGTGAACTGCACAGTCTGAGAATTATAGATCAATAAGGCTGTAATAAAAACTTAAGGAGAAGAAAAATAATTAAAAAATGGTCAAAAGACATGGACAGGCATTTCACCTAAGAGGACACACAGATGGTGAATAAGTACATGAAGCTATGTTCATTCAGCATCATCAGCCTTTACAGAAATGCAAAGTAAAGCCATGATGAGGTAGTGCCACACATCCATCAGAATGGTGAGATTTTTAAAAAAAAAACAAAGTAGTAGCAACACTGAATCTGGCACAGACAGAAAAACTGGACTGCTTACACACTGATGGGGAGTAAATACTCGAGAAAATGGTTTGACAGCTTCTTACAAAGCTAAACATATAATTACCATATGACCAGCAATTGTACCCCTAGGCATTTATCCCAGGGAATTGAAAACATAGGTTCAAAAAACCCAAATCCTCTATACAAATGTTCACAGTATTCTATTGATAACTTCCCAGAGCTGGAAACAACCCTGATGTCCTTCAATGAATGAATGGATAAACAAGTGAGGTGCAGCCAGACCATGGGATACTTACTATTCCACAATAAAAAGACCCAAATTAAGTGAGTCATGGTGGCACATGCCTGTAATCCCACCACTTAGGAAGCTGGGGCAGGAGGGTCTCGAGTTCAAGCTAAGTCTGAGCTGCACAGGGAGACTCTATCTCAAAATAACAAAAGGAGGGAGGGAAAAAAGGAGGGAAGAAAAAAGAGGGAGAAAGGGAGAGAGGGAGAAAACAAAAAGAAACTAGTGACACAGTGGAGAAGTTGGATAAGCAGCTGTCGAGTGGTTAGGAGCACTGGCTATTCTTGCAGAGGACCCAGGTTCAGTTCCCAGTACCCACATGGTGGCTAACAACATAACGTAACTCTAGTTCCAGGAGATCCAATGCCCTCTTTGGACCTCTGTGGACATTACACAACATGGGTGCATTTACATATATGCAGGCAATACACCCATGCACATTAAATAAAAATAAATTTTAAAAAAGAAGTTAGATAAATCCAGTGAACACAGAACATCCCTGAAAAAGAGATATGCCATTTAAATGCATTGGTGTAATATTCTGAAATAAAGTTTTGAAGATGAAGAATAGATAAATGGGTGCCAAGGGCTAGGAGCTAGAAGGGAGGAGAATGGAGGCTGGGAGGGGATGGATGTGTCTATGAAGGAAAATGCAGGGAAGTCCTGTAGTGACAGAGTTCTGTTTCTTAGCAAGAACACAAAGAGATGGAATAAAATACACGCACAATATATACAAATGTGAGGAGCTGGTGAGATGGCTCAGTGGACAAAGGCACTTGTTGCCAAGCCTGATGACCTAAGTTCAGTCCCTGGAACCCACACGTTGGAAGGCAGAACTGACTCCTGCAAGTTGTCCTCTGACCTCCACATGTGCACAGTGGCACACACAAACACATGCATACGCATGCACACACACAAAATGTCTTTTAAAAAATCAAGTCCATATGAATTTTGGAAATCTGAGTAATATTTGGATTATGTCAACATCCTGACTGGGATATTGTGCCATAGACCTTTTGGGGAACCTGGGTAAAAAGTGTAACACCTCTTTAAAATATTTTATTTATTATTTTTATTTTACGTGTATGAGTGTATTTCCTGCATGTAGGTAAATGCACCCATGTCGTGCAGTGCCTGTGGAGGACAGAAGAGGCCATTGGGTCCCCTGGAACTGGAGTTACAGGCAGTTACCTGCCATGTGGGTGCTGGGATTCAAACCCAGGTCTTCTGCAACAACCACCAGTGTTCTTAACCGCTGGGCCATCTCTCCAGCCCGGAGACCTCTTATATGATTATTTCTTACAATCATATGTGAAATGAAAAAGGTTAATTAAGAAAGTAAAACTGAAAGTGGTAGGAAGCTCTGTAAACAGTGACAGGCCTGGAACGCTGACTCATGTCTAATCAATAAGCTTTGCCCACAGTGGCAGGGTCTGCACACCACTAGAGGCTCTACAAGCACCTGAGGCTCTACAAACACCTGAAGGCTCTACAAGCATCACTGGACCACAAGACATGGCTACTCATAAAACATTCCAGCTTACCCAATCATTTCAATGACAAAGTCTCCACCAGGTAATTCTGTCAGACCTCTCTCGTGCCTGCTATTTTTGGCCATGTTGGAGATGAAACCTAGAGCCTCCCTCATGGTTTTTCAGTATTTTATTTATTATTTTATGTGTATGAGTGTATTGCCTGCATGTATGTGAGTGTACCCATGTCGTGCAATGACACAGAGGTCAGAAGAGGGCTTCAGATTCCCCTGGAACTGGAGTTAAGGACAGTTCATAGCCGCCATGTGGGTGCTGGGAATTGAACCCAGGTCCACTGCAAGAGCAGTCAGTGCTCTTAACCGCTGAGCCACCTCTCCAGGCCCTGAGCCTCCCTCATGTTATACCAGTGCTTTACCCAAGTCCACCCATGCCTGCTTTATAACAAATAAGAGCAGACTTCAAGTTCCAAGTCATCAATAGGCAACACTATCAAATCAATTTCAACAACTTTATTTTCTTTATAGTAGTATTTCTTGAGTTGGGTATGGTGGTACATAATGGTAATCCCAGCATTCAGTAGGCTGAGACAGAGGGATCATGAGTTCCAGGTCAGCCTTGGTTATAAAGTAAGTTCAAGGTCTTTCTAAGCTACATAGTGAAGTCATGTCTCAGAAACAAAACAAAACGAAACAAAACATATATATAATTATCTTCATCCAATAGCAAGTGACTGTAATATTGGCTTCCTAGTTAGAGTAGCGTTCTAAAATGCCTTTAAAAATAAAGGCATTAGGGGGCAGAGGGTATGGTAAAACACTTGTCTAACATGTATTGCCCTGGGTTTGATCTGCAGCACCACATAAGTAAATAAAACAAATAAATAAATACACTTAATTTTTTTATTTATTAGGAAAACAGTAGTTTATAGGCATTTTAAAAAAACCTGTAACAGTGCCCTATAGTAAAACATACCCTCTAATAGAGACCCTGAACACTATCTGTGATTGTGTGAACACTGCTCTCTGGCAGGAGTCCCTCCAGCCTGACAACCAAGACTAGTCCGCTTCTTTTTTTGGGGGGGGGTGCTTTTTGAGACAGGGTCTCCCTGTAGCCCCAGCTGTCCTGGACTCACTATGTAGACCAGGCTGGCCTTGAACTCACAGATATCCACCTGCCTCTGCCTCCCGAGTGCTGGGATTAAAGGCATGCACCACCACTCCTGGCAGGTGCTTCCTGTTTTTCTAAATAAAGTTTTATTGAAACACAGTCAGGTCAACTCATTTACATATATGTTGTGGCTGCTTTTGTATTACAAAGGCAGACTGGAAAGGTTGTGACAGTCCCCAAGGCTCAGGAAGTCTGAACAATTTACTACCTGACCCTTTATAGAAAGAGTTTGCTGACCCCTGATCTTCAGCCTGTCACAAAGACCTGGTCACTACAAGTTATGCAGCAACATGGGGGAGAATAGCTGTCTCCAGGCAAGCTACATCTCCAGTAGGAAAATAATTCAGCATGCCTGCTGGGGCTGGCCCCACTCTCCCAGGATTCACTTGGTACAGTTATTATCACTGGCATTGTTATACTGGCCTGGAGCTTGACCATGCACTCAGGGAGGAGGTCTTAGTCATCACTGTATCACCCATGGTGCTTAGCACAGTACATGACAAACAGGACAGTTAGGTAAGGGTTATTTATATCCAAAGACCAACATAGGGCTTTTATGCAACAAATGTTCGTATTAAATGTCCCCCAGCTGTAGGTTTGCAAAACAACAATCTGTCTAGTTTTTTAAAAACAGAATTTTATCTTCCTGGCTTTCCCCCTGCAGCAGCATTAGGTACATAAACAACACACAAGCTCCTTCTCAGAGGTAGATGGCTAATAGTCTATAATTATAACTTTGTTGGAACGTTGGATTGTAATCACCCTGTAAGATCTGTTTTGGTAAATTTTGAAAGCAAAGAATTTTAATTATGGGGGGTTATATCAGCGGAGCTATATGAAATAAAAATGTTAATATGTGAAAATAATTAGAGTGGCTACCCGAATAATCTCCCTCGAATCATAAGCTGCATTGGTGCTGTCCTTTCAGATCCTAAACTCCTCGCCTAATTAGTGCTTTGTAGTGCTTTTAAGTAGATGTGTGTCTTTGTGGTCTGATGTCTTCAGACAAGAAAACCAGCTGCCACTAATGAAGAGACTGTCATGCAAAAAACCCACAGATAATTATCGAAAGGCATCGATGACCTGCTATTAGCAGGGCCAAATTTCCCATTTCTTCATTAATCAAGTAACAATCAACTGTGTATACTTGAAATATGCACACACACACATATATGTCTATAATTATATAGAGACATATATGTAAATACACAAGGTGTGTGTATGTATGTGTACTTGTCTGTGTGTGTGCACGTGTGTGTCTGGGACACCATGCTGGATTCTTGGATAATACAAAGGAAAAGTGAGAAAGGAAGCTTCTCACAGAACCTGGATGAGGAGACACCAGTATCTTTAGCTGACCTTTCTGCTTGGGATGTTAATAAATGTTCAGTGTAGAAAACAGGGAAGATGTAAAGTTTGGAGTCAAATACATACAGGAAACACTGAGTTCAACAAAGGTGCAAATAGGTCTTCAGGGCTGGAGAGTCGGCTCAGCAGTTAAGAATACTGTTTGTTCTTGCAGAAGACCCGGGTTTGAATGCCAGCACCCACATGGCAGATAATAACTGTCCATAACTCCAGTTCCAGGGGATCCAACAGCCTCTTCTGACCTCCACCAGCATTGCACAACACAGGTGCACTTACCTACATGCGGGCAATACACGCGTACACATAAAATAGAAATAATAAAATATTTTTAAAAATAAATAGGTCTTCACCTAGGTGGCTCCTCCACAGCAGACATCCTTTTCTCTAAAGTACTTCAGAGATTGCATCTCAGAGAGTCACACTTTAAGAAACATTATTTTGGCCAACTAACTCCAAAGAAACTTGTGAATGTGATGAGAGACTGAGGGGCAGCCGTGGTGCACAGGTGAATGCTTTAATAACTGCCTTTAACAACTGGCTATCCAAAGGAGGAAATACAAATCTTGGTCTTTTCTGATTTTCATGATGTAAATAATTCCAACATGGCGTCACAAAGCTCTAACACTCCACTGAAGTTTGAGGAGAAAACGCTAATTCCCTCAAGGTGGATAAGGAGAGGTAGCTTAGGCTAATCCATTCCCTCTACTTTGTTTGATTTTTCTTGTGACTGATGACCCATAGATAAATATAATCTGAAATAGCCAGGAGGACTTAAACTTTACTGTATGAAAAACTCCACCACCATCAACAAGACTTTAAGACCTTTTTGTAAGGAGACTCCTTCCTTGAAGATTCAGCTACTGCCAATCCAATTCATGCTTTAAATGTGACAATTGTATTCAGAAAGCTTAAGAACCAAAGAAATGCTTACACATCCATGTGTATGGATGGAACCAGCCTAGATGTCCATTAGCAGATGAATGGATAAAGGAAATGTGATACATAACATTACACAATGGAATTTTATGCAGCCATAAAGAAAAATGAAATTATAACATTTGCAGGAAAATAAATGCAACTGGAAATCATATCAAGCAAAATAAATCAGGCTCAGAAAGACAAACACTGAATGTTTTCTCTTATATGCAGTGCCTAAATTCAAAATTATGTATATGTGTATATGTATATATTCATATATGTGTGTTTGTAGGTCATGAAAGGGGAGAGATCTCAAGAGAGGTGGGGAATAGAGTAAACAGATTCTATGTAACAGGAAGGCAGAAGGAGGCCCTAACTGGGGGATGAAAGGGCACCAGGTGGCTATGGGGAGGAGAGGTGGCAGGAGGCAGTGGGGGGCGGGGGCAGGGACAAACAAGAACAAGGTATAATGACGCATATATGAAGACACCAAAATGAAAATCATTACTCAGCCTGGTTTTTGTGTGTGTGTGTGTGTGTGTGTGTGTCTTTTTGAGACAGGGTCTCCCTGTAGCTCCAGCTGTCCTGGAACTCACTATGTAGACCAGGCTGGCCTTGAACTCACAGAGATCCACCTGCCTCTGCCTCCCAAGTGCTGGGATTAAAGGCATATGCCACCATGCCTAGTTATTTTTTTTTTTAATTAAAAAGAGAGAGAGATGGGGCTGGAGAGCTGGTTCTGCTGTTAAAAGTACATACTGTTCTTGCAGAGGACCAGCATTCAGTTCCCAGTACCCATGTTTGGCAGCGCATAACTACCTGCAGCTCCAGTTCCAGAGGATCTGACTCCTTGCGTGAATCACCAAGCCCAGCAAAAGGCATGGGCCACGAGACTCACACACACACACACACACACACACACACACACACACGCGCGCATGCACTTAATTAAAAATAAAATAAATACAAGAAAAAAAAAAGAATCTAGCTCAGGACTCTTGCACTTACGGTAGGAAAAGAGTTCACAGTCAAAAATAGGGGCTAGAGTGCCCCGTGCGTATCATGGGGCTTACCTGCCTGGCTTTTTGATAAATGACCCCAAACTTGAAAGTGTTGTTGACATCATGCTCATCATAGGACACAATCATCTGAGAGGCCTGGAAAATGTGGGAAAGAAAAAAACCAAGAGTGTTGTTAACTGCAAATGAAGACGCAAGCAAAAGAAGTCCTCGCTTTAGCAGAGGACATGCCTCCAAGAAACATTCATGCAGAGCTCTCCAGCAGAGGAGAAAAGAACGTGCAGGCGTCAGAATGCTGTTCCAAGGCCCCAACTAGCCCCCAAGCCCTGAGCTTCCCTAGCAGTAGCTAAACCCCTGCATCATCCATTCTGATCCACCCAGATATGCCAGCCACAGCTAGGGAAGAGGAGTCTCATGGGATTTAGGGAACTGGCTTTACCCTAGAGTTTTATCTGTGGTCTAAAAACATAAAGCTGGATTCCCCAAACTGGTCAGTAAGGATGGCTCGAGCCCAAGTTCCACCTCTTTTAAGTAATTTAACTTAAAGCAAGTCGCTGCTCCTATGCAGATCTCAACCCCTAAGATAAACAAACTCTCATAAGATATACAAAGAGGCAAGGAGAAAAACACCTCACCATAAGCTCTACCTACATTTCCACTTTTCCTCATAGAATCGGTATCTGAGGTCAGAAACACTAAACTAATTTTGAACCCACTGCTTTGAACCACATAGTGTTGAGTGAGCCAGTTAACCTCTCTGCACTACAGTTCCCTCCTCCACACATGAAGATGTAAGATGTGGAATTGCAAAGATCCAATGAGACAAGGCACATAAAGTGGTGAGGACGGAGCAGCTATCACCATCATCACATCGTCATCACCATCATAATCTATGGAGCCCTCCAGAAAGATCAGAGCTGAACCAGCTTGCTGGAAAAGAGAAGGTTATTTGAGGACTACTGGGAAACCTGTGAAATACAAAGGGCAGATTGGCCCATGTGCTATGCTAGAGGAAGACCGAGGCTTGACTTGTTGGCTGGACTATGTGGCCCATGGCAGGCTGCCATCACTCTTACCTCTGTGAGAGTCTCAACTATCTGAGGAAAGAGATGCTCCTCCGGTCACCCAGTGAGAGCCCTGCTGGCTACCCCTGGAAGTTTCCTTCCACAGCTGCCTGGGATGAGTCAAGGGTGGACAACAGCTGCCCTGCCAGGGAAAGGCACCAGGCCACAGAGACCTTCCAAGGAACATTCTAAACTCTCACATTTGAAAACACACACACACACACACACACACACACACACACACACACACACACACACACCATCCAGAGTCACGTCCCAGCTGAACATCAGCTGGCCTTGAAAACACAGACAACATGAAAATACAGCTGTTGTTCCATTACCACCAGGCCCAGAGGCTTTCCAAGGCAGAGGGAGAACCTTGTAAATGAGCATCACTGGAGCCTCTCAATGAATATGATTTGAGAACAAAAACTGCCAAATCTGTAGTTCAGTTAGGCCTTTATGATAGGGCTTTATAAGCACATAAACTTCATTAATTCAGCTTTAATTACAAAGGGTGGTCAGTCTGAGTGACAGAAAATGTTCACTGGAATGTGGCATATTACTGGTGTCCACAGATGCTAAAATGGCTAAAAAGAGGCATTTGGGGGAAAAAAAAGGTTCTGTGAGGCTGAGGACTCTGTCATCAGCTCATCCATCCCCCACAGATAAACAGATGCTTCTAAGAGTAGCATGTCCAGCGTGGACATTTGAGCCATGTGTTCCAGAGGGTTCCGAGTGTCCCTGCAGGGTGGAAATCTCTTTCCTACCAGGTATTTCATCTCACGGCTCCTGCTCATCAGAGATGAGACTTGGAGGGTGGACAGAGCTGACCCCAGCAAGCCTTGGCTGTGGCAGTGCTGACCACAGCAGAAGCCTCAGTGGAAGGGCAGCTCTGCTTCCATTTTCCCCCAAGCTCCTTCTAGCTCATAAAACAGCAGTAGGTGTGCAGGATCCCTTCCTCTGGCCAACTTCAAGCAGTTCTCTACTGTGGATGATTTAAGTTCTGTCATGCCATGATTGCTCTGGACTGGGTATCTTGGTTTGTTTTGTTATTAATTCTTCTCTCCCTGCTCATATCCCCATTCCAGAACTGGAGTCAAGATCGGGCCAGTCGTAAGGAAGCCGATATCAGAGAACCACCAGTTTATTAACTATAGCCATCAGAGGCTTGGAAGGCCTCAGATCTGTAGTCACATGGGTAACCAGGAGTCAAGGTTAACCTTTTACTTCTTAGTGGGTTTCAGAGTTCTGTACCTGACTCCTCCATGATGTCATGGGGGATCTGACCAACTCCCTCATCCCAAAACTGTCTTCATGAAGGTACAGCTAAGGTGAGGTAGAAAAAGCTACAAAACTGTTATGCTCTGTCAACCTTCACAGCAGGTTGGGGTCCTAACTCAGGGATGTTGGGAACCCAGGCATACCTAAGGATGGGTTCCCAGGGTACCAGTTTAAGCAGGGGTAGGCAGAGAGAGAGCGAGACATAAAGGCTCATCATGGAGACTCTATGTAACCCCTCCATGATAGAGGGAACTTCCGAAAGACCTACCAAGTGTGCATATTCACACCTAGCTACAGGGCCCTGGACAGTAGGCCCATGTGCTGGAGAGCTTTAGTGTCAACTTGACACACCTGGGTTGAGGGAGCCTCAATTGGGGAATTGCCTCTATTGGACTGGCCTGTGGCCATGTCTGAGGGGCATCTTCTTGATGAGTGATGTGGGAGGGCCCAGCCCACTGTGGGTGGTGCCACCCCTGGGCAGGTGGGCCTGTGTTGCATAAGAAAGCAGGCTGACCATGGGCCAGGAGAGCAAGCCAGTAAGCAGCATTCCTCCATGGCCTGTGCTCCAGCTCCTGCCTCCAGGTTCCTGCCCTGAGTTCCTACCTTGGGCTCCCTGATGAACTGCGACCTGGGAGATGTAAGCTGAATAAACCCTTTCCTCCCCAAGTTGGTAGTGGTCAGAGTGTTTTGTCCCAGCAATGAAGAAACAAACTAGGACAGCCCATCAGTGTGTGAAAGTCCTCACCTTGGGGTACAGGACAGGATTGAATTTCAGCCCCACTGCATCATCACAGAAAGCCTGAGTAGGGAGAGAAACACATAGGTCAGGAGCCACATCCACTAAGTATATGCGGGCTCCTCTACCCACAGAGAAAGCAGCACGGGAGGGCAAGGCACGAAGCCTGGACTGGAGTTCACATTCTGCGGCTCACTAATGTGGGTCCAAGACAGTGAACCCACCTTTCTAGGGTTTCCTGATAAAGTGAGGGAAGGAATAAGATGAAGCCTGAGACATATCCCCATTCTGACTGAAAGACAAGGCCAAAAGGCCATCACCCTCAACTCCCACAGAAGGTACTGGGCACAGTTCTGTTGGCTTTCCAGTTACCAGAGTGACGGTGTAACTCAACCCAGCTGACCACCCTTCCAACTCTAATCTGAAGACTCAGTTCCCAAACTCTCAGCAACTCATATAGTGACATGGGCCTCTGTGTCAGCTGGCAGTCTCTTCCTCTGGGCAACAGTAGATCTGGACTACCCTTCAGACCAGTTCAGACCCTGCTCCCTCAGTGAAAGCTCCGAGAGCCACCCTTCCCCTCCTCTGAGGTCCTATACATCTGCTATGCTGAGCTCTGTCTTCCTACTTCTCATGTCTCCTGGACTATAATACTTGAGGCAGACAGAATGGACTAGACTATTCCCTGAAAAAGCCTCAGGTACAAGGCTGAGCTGGGCCTTGTACAAGGAGGGAAGATGGAGGCAGGTGCCAACAGTCCCCCACCACTTCCATCTAGACGAAGAGCAAAGCAGCCTCCCAGCTCCCAATGGCAGAGCCTGCACCCCCACCCCAAAGTCAGCCCTGGTGTCAGCCACTTTCCCTCAAACCTTGGTTTTTACCTTGGCAATCTGGGGGACGCTGGGTAACTTGCTCAGTCCAGCCAAGGGGATTCGCTCATGCACCGTCTTCAGTTTGGACCTGCACATGGATGAGAGTGAGATGAAGACTTCCATGAAACAGTCAGTTGGGAAGGTGACTGAGGTCATGTCAGACAGGGGCCCTCACTTCCGGTCTCCCTGGGAACAGATCTACCTTTCACTCAGCTTGGCAGGGGAGGGGGACGCCACACTCATGGTGGGAAAAAGAAATTCTTCCTGTGTGCCCCCAGGGCAGTACCTAAGGATCCACACCTGGAAAAGTTGTCTGACACTAAAATATAGAAAATGCAATTAGTCAATTTCAAGGCCACCATTATTTTCTGATTTCTAAATTTTCTTTTTTTTTTTTTTCAATTCTCTCAGAAAATTGGGCCCAGCTTCTGGATATATTTAGATTTTATATGCAAATGAACCTGTATGAAAGATAATCTAATATTTGAAAATCTGGATTTACTCAAAATATACATGGGATGGAATCTGCTTTAGCAAGGGATTCAACATAAGACTCTAAATTTAGCCTGTTCCCCTGACTCATTTAGCACATTATGAAAGCGCTGAACTTCACGGAAAGCTTTTTTGCATCTGCTGAGATAATCATACGGTTTTTAATCTGTTAACCTGGTGGATTATAACTCTGTCAAGCCAGCTTTTCATTCCATGGGTAAAAACTCCACATGCTTATAATGTGTGACTTTTAATATCCTGCTGAATTTAACTTGTTAGTTGTTTGTTTAGATTTTCACATCTATGTTCAGAAGCAACACTGGCCTTTTGTTTAAATGTACCTCCTTTGCCACATTTTCATAGTAAGGTGTTATTCCAGCCAAGCAAATGATAGGAAGGTTTCTTGTCCTTTGAAATGGGTTTTGAGCTACACGGATTTCTAGAGGTTTGCTAAAACTCATGTGTGACATCTCTGGACCAGCTGTCTTTATAAGAGGACACTTTAAATTTCTTTAGGGGTGAATGTTTAGGTATTATACACTCTACTGAGTCAATTTCAGTCATTTAAGTTTTTCTATCAAAGTACCCATCACATGCATTAATACTGAGTTGTCTTTTACAACTTTTTAGGACTTCATCTCCTTAGCAGCTGTGTCCCTCCACATTCTTCATACAGGGGTTTGTTTCCCAGTGCTGGGGATGGCATCCAGGCCCTCCCACAGCACGCAAGTGCTCCGCCACTGAGCTGCACCCTAGCTCCTGCGGGCGCAGTTTCAGTTTTCTGTCTTTGTCTCAGCTGGTAGCTGGCTGATTGTATTAGTCTTTCTACCTCTCATGTATCCCTTCTTCTTCACGAGTTCATCCTTGTCTATTTTCTTCTTTCTCTTTTCTGTTTTTAACTTCCAATCTGCATGATTTCTCATTTAATCTTTCTTCTTTTCCACAAGCACATTTACAACTATACAACTCTATGGAAGTACCACTTTAACTGCGTCCCACACGCTTTGATAGGTAGTATTTTTGTTGCCATTTTATTCTAAATATTTTGTCAGTTCTTTTGTGATTTCCTTTTTAGCCCATGAGCTTTGTAAAAGGGCTTTAAAAAAAAAAAAAAAAAAGATTTTCCCCTCAAGAATTTTAATTGTTGATTTATAAACTAATTGTCATATCCAGGGAACATAATCTATACGGTATTGTTTTTAATTTGTTAACAATTTGCTAACACAGACCTTTTTATTCTTTTCATATTCTATGTGAGCTTGAAAAAGATGCATTTTTTTCTTTTGCTGAGAGCAGGAGTACAAGACTAAATCTGTTTACTACATTGCTCAAATCTGTTCAACCCATTATTTTCTGAGAGATTTTTATCCAACTCTCCCACTAAGCTGAGGATCTATCTCCTTTTCCCTACATTTCTGTCAGCTCTTGCTTTGGGGTTTTTGTTGTTCAGTTTTCTTGCAGTGCTGGGAATTGAATCTAAGGCTCTGTGCATTCTAGGCAAAGGCTCTACCACCAGGCTGCATCCACAGCCCCAGTTCTTGCCTTTTAAGTCCAAAAATATGTTACCAAGTACATGCCCTGTAGTCCTGAGTGTCTCAATCTCTTTACTGTGCAGTAGGCTGAGAGCTGTGAGGAGGCCCAGCAAACGGCATCTTGCCCTATACTGGTTCTGAATAAATTCAATACAAAATAACAACAAAGAATAAGGCAGTTAGGAGCTGAAATAATTCCTTTGTTACTGCTGAAGACCAAGTAAGGACACATAAGTGTGAAGATAAAGTAAATCTAACCAAACTTCAGAAATCACCCACCCATCACATGTACGGCTGGGTGGGGGCAAGGCCCCTCCTGCAGGGGCTGCTCAGGAGAAAACGCCAAGAGGAAAAGAAAGAACACAGCTGTAGAGCAAGTTCTTGCTCCCCAACAGCTATAGGAGGCGGGGCAGAGAACAAGAGGTTCTGCCCAAAAGTGTTCCCTCCACACCACAGGAAACATCAGAACTGAGGAAGAAACATTCCCAAGTTACAAAGAACGGCTTCCTTTATCCCTAATGCTTCTTTAGTGAAATTCTGCTACGTCTGGACTTAATGTTGCTATGACACTTTCTTCGTTATCATTTCCCTAGTGTGTCTTTTCCCGTCCCTTTATTTTAAACCTTTCCGTATCATGTTTTTCTTAATGTCTCTTATAGCAGACTATAGCTGTATTTTTAATTCGATCTAATAGTCTGATATTTTAGTAGCTAACTTTATACTTACTACAACCACTAACATGTCTGAAATTACTTCTAGTCTTTCCTTCTATATTTTGTATTCCCTGTGAGTGATTTTCTTTCTTATCTCCCCTCTTTTCCGGCATCAGTTGAATGAAGTTATGGGCGTTTGTGCTTTCATTTCTATTTAATTTCATTTTGTCATTCTCTCTTTATCCCTCTGTGTTCCTTGGCATCTCCCAATATATCTGTCTACATTTTTCCTAGCAGCCTCTGGTTACGTTTGTCGTATGTTTTATTGACTTCTTCCCTTCCCATCACCCTTGCTACTTTTGCTTATATAGTTCAATCTTCCTTCTAAACTTGTCAAAAAATATTTGTTTTTCCAAGTCAGCAATTAAATTTGTCAATATCATTTCCCTGTCTCTGGTTACTTTTTAAATTCCATGTTTTCTTCTAAGCCCTCTTTTCGTCTGGCTCAAGTACATCAGTAATTTCTCCGGGGAGGCTCCAAAAGGCTGACTACCCTATTTTGTTTGGGGGTTTTTTTTGTTGTTGTTTGTTTGTTTGTTTGTTGGCTGTTATGGTGGTGGGGGTTGTTTTATGTCTGAAAACAGTTTAATTTTTCAGGGTGGTGGTGCATGCCTTTAATTCCAGCACTCAGGAGGCAGAGGCAAGTGAATCTCTGTGAGACTGAGGGCAGCCTGGTCTACCCAGGGAGTTCCAGGCCAGCTGGGGCTACAGGGAGACCCTGTATCAAAAAAAAAAAATTAAAATTAAAACAAAACCAGAAAGAAAGGAAAGGGAAGGGAAAAGGAAAAGAAGAGGCGAGAGTGGTGCCCGTCATCGAGTTGCGGCTTGCAATACTCAGACTAGAAACTGCGCTACAGGCAAAAGAGCGTAACTTTATCTTTACTAATAGTTTCTCTGGGTATAGAACTGTAGGTTAAAAGTATTTCTTCCTCCTTGTTTATTTGCTTGCTTGCTCTTGAAACCCTTTAAAGATAGTATCCCAACAACTATTATGACCATGGAGAAATTTGCTCTCAATCCAGTTGTCACTGCCTCAAAGACTGTCTTTGTTCTCAGACAGCTGTAAATTATGCTACACTTTGATTTCTGATATTTCACTTAAACACGTCTACAAATATTGTTTTGCTTTGAAATAATGATCTACAGTAGGCAGAGGGCTTTCTTCGATTCTCAAAAAATTCTCAGGTCGAACCTATGGGTAATGATTCACTAATCTCTCTGTTCTTTCCTTGGGAACTCCTCTGGGACAGGGGCCTCCCCTTCTGGTATTCACCTATCTTCTTTTCCTTACACTTAATCTCTTTATCTGTGCTATGCTCTGCAAGAATTCCTTGGGGCTATCTCCCAATTCACTCTTTGAACAGACTAGATTTTAGCCTATGTGTTAAGTCTATTTTGATAACTATATTTATTCTGATAATTCTAATTGTTTTCTTTCTATACTCATGCGCTCTGGGTTCATTTCTCTGTACTGCAACTTATTACCCATTTTAGAGAAGCTCTTCCTTCTATAACTTTTTTAAGGTCTTAAATACATTTTAAGCCATTTCGAAAGTCTACCATTATTTGCATTTTCATCATCAGCAAATCCCTCTCCCATTTGTTCACATTTTGGCTGTCTTTCTTAATGTCAGTTTTTCCCAGGTGTCTGGAATTTTCCACCCACTTTCCTCTATTCTCGGTGTAAACCACCCTGGTTTAGTTCCCATCATGGCTGCCAGTCTGCACAGCTCTTGGGGAGCTGTTCTCATATAATCTGATGGCAAGGATCATCACCAGGGATCACCACCTGACTCACCTCATCTCAGTAGCCCCTGACCCACACCTTCTTGCTCATGCCATTCCTTGCTTTTGCACCAAGTCATTCTCCTTGTTCTAGCCAATGACCATTCTACAGATCTGACCATGATCATTACCATGACCATGGCCATGACCACGATCTTCTGTAGTTGCCAGCTACTAAACACTGTCTGTGCAGGATGTAGCTTTCCTGTATCTCTCTAGAACAATCTTTCAGTCCTACACCCACTCAGACACGTCTCACAGATTTTGAACTGCTTTCAGTAGTTAGCTTTTGCACTACTCTGAGTAGCCTATGAAGATCAATGTCCAAAGAAAGATGAGTAAGAAGAGGAATAAGGGTATCTAAAGCAGGGGCTGGAGAGATGGCTCAGTGGTTAAGAGCACTGGCTGCTCTTGTGGAGGATCCAGGTTCAATTCCCAGCATCCACATGGTGGCTAACAACCATTCATAACTCCAGTTCCAAGGAATCTGACAGCCTCCTCTGACCTCCACAAGCACTTCACAGCACAGGTGCATTTACATACATGCAGGCCATACGCTTATACACATAAAATAAAAATAATAAATATTTTTAAAAGATTATCTAAAACAGGAGCTAAAGGTATATCTCAGTAGTAGAGCACTTTTCTAGCACATACAAGGCCATGGGTTTAATCCTCAGCACAGGGAGGGGAGGAGGGAAGGAGGGAGGGATGAAGGATATCTAAAATGTATTGACTAAACACTTTCCATGGTAAAGTAATATGAATTTATTCCTCACACTATCCCATTAGACAGCCTGACACATATCAAGTGTTGATTAAACAAAATTGACTGAATAATGCACTTTTTTGTCTTAACTAAGATAATTAAATAACTAAAATAACTCTTTCTCGACTATTATAAGTATTCTTAATAGTCTACATAGATTTGCATTTCTGTGGCTGGTATTTTGCTTAAAACATTCGTCTGTGTTAATAAGAAATATCGGACCCGATTTTTTTCTTTTTCTTTTCTATAAATTGGTATCTTGTTTGCCTGATTCTTTTTATGAGGATCTTCTCAGCATTATCACGTTAAATGAAAAGCCTTTCATATTTTCAACTCTCTTGACCAGTTTCAATATCACAAATCTATTCTTTTAAAACTTAAAATATCTACCTATAAAATCATCTAGAGCTAGAAACACTTGGAAAGAGAATGCTTTGAGAACTTTTCTACTTTATTCCATGGCTATTGGACCATTGTGTTTTTAGACTCATTTTGATTTAAATTTGATAGCACATTCTTCCCTGAAATGCCTGACAGCACTTTCAGCTTAATAGCATGAGTTGGACATAGCATTCATTAACAACTATTTAATCTTCATATCTGTAACTATATATTTTATGCCCAATTTTGTACACTGTTTTCTTTTTGTCAATCTATGTTGTTTTGTATTTTTTACATATATTTTTTTTTATCTATGTGTGTTTCATATATCTTATATATGGAAGAGTGAGATAGTTTCATGTAGTCCAGGCTCATGAAACTCACTCTAAAACCAAGGATGACCTTGAACTCCTGTTTCCCCCAACTCTACTTCCAAAATGCTAATATTGCAAGCATATACCACCACGCCTGCCTTTTCTTTCCTCTACTTGACTAACTAGTTGTCTATATTGTTTTGTTTCCGCAACAGAAGCCAAGATTTAATAATCAAGTCCTCTTATGTTCTTTTAATTCTAATTTATTCTTTCCATATTAATCTTTGTTCATTTTTTCCTCTTGTTTTCTTTGGATAATGTTGATATTAATAAGGCCAGCATCATTACTGAGCAGCTAAACTATGTAGGGCCCTGACTCATCACAGCACATAAGTACTCAATTATTTTAATAACCTCCTCACACATGAAGGACCAAGTGGTCACTAACAGCAACAGTAACTTGCAAATATCATTTTTTTCTCATATTTAGTAATAAACTGGGAAAGGCAACACACTTTCTTTTAAGGATGGCTCTGAATGCAATCCACATTAAAATATTGTAAAGTGTCATTATTTTACAAATATTTTCTAACTGCTGCTTTGATTTCTTCTCAGGCCTAAAAATTATATAGGAAAATGTTTAGATTATTTCTAAGTGGTTAAGTGACCTTTTAAAAACATTTTTGTTATTTGTTAGTTTCTAGTTTTATTGTCAAAATAGAAGTGTATACATCCAGCAGAGAGTATTTTTGAAATCCATCTATATGTGCTCCACGGTTCAAAGTTCCTAAGTCTACCTGCTATCAGAACTACATACAAGATTCTATAAAATTAGAAATTTCAAGTAGCAATCTACTTTAAAAATGAACAAGGCCTAAGAACAGAGAGTTCACAGCAAATAAACACAAGTGGTCCCAAACACATGAAGAAATGTCTAAAGTTGGTAGGTAGATTCTATTTGGCTAGCCACATGCCACAGTCATTGTTGGAATGCTCAATTCACATTTTAGTCTGGCGTTGTTATAAATCTGGGACACCAATGAAACAATCCAGAGCTCTTCAAGGAATGAGGAAGAGGCTGGACAGTGCCCTTTGCCAGCAGGGGGATTTCATCTGCATAAGTCCTTCCTTGTGTCTGGTGAAGCTGCTAAGTCATGGAGCCAGTTTTTCCTGCCTAGTTTCCAGTTGGCCTGGCAACCACTCCAGGTCCATGCTGTGGCTGCCCAGCTCCCTTGCTGATGAAGGGCTTCTCTTTGCCACCCTCCTTGATGGCTTTCTGTAGGGGAGAGCCACATTTGTGATTCCCAGGGTTCCCAAGGGTATCGATTTCAAATGCCATGGATCCAAGACAACAGAAATAGTTCTATAGGGAAAGATCTCGGGATATTCATTCCTAAAGAGCACAGGATTCTTCCAGACTATCCAATTACACTGATTAGTTGATTGGCTGATGACTTTTTTGTTGTTTTGTGAGACAGGATCCGGAACTCACTATATAGACCAGCCTGGCCTTGATCTCACAGAGATCCAACTGCCTCTGCCTCCTGAGAGCTGGGATTAAAGGTGTGTGCCACCATGCTTGGCTTGAGATTTATTGCTGTTGGTTTTGCTTTTTGTTTTTTAAGACAAGGTCTCATAGTCCAGGCTGTCCTAGAACTCACTATGTAGCCTAGGCCAGCCTTGAACTCTTGGCCTATGAAGTATTGTGATCACAGGCATGAGCCAACAGGCCCAGCTTAGAATATCTAATTTCATATATTCCTACTACATTGCTTTCTAAGGGAGGAGAATTAAGGTTCAACTCAACATAATCTACATTTTGGTCCTAACTGTCCCACAGGGTACTTTGTTAATTGTTTTTTTAGAACCATTAAAGTCTGTGCTGGATGCCTGACATCTTTCTCCAGCTTTTGTTTCTGATAAACATTTGAGCTGGGAAACAGAGTTAGAAAAGGGGGCTTTGGGAAGCCAGACATAGTGGTGCACACCTGTAATCTCAACACTCAGGAGCCTGAGCAGAAGGACTGCAAGTTTAAGGCTGGTCTAGACTATACAATGAGCCTGGGCCACAAAACCAAAAGGAACAGGAAAAGGGAAAAGGGGGCTTGGGTCCTTGGGATCGGGTGTCATCTTACTCAAAATCTTATGTAATCTTGGTCTAGTTTTTATTTTAAAGGGAAGGAATGTTCTTAGTAAAGACTCATCTAGATAGAAATCCTATTTAGAGACAGGGACCCAGGAATCACCCACTCAGAAAACTGTCTGGTTGACTGACTCTTCCATGCTTTGCAAACACAATGTCTACCCAGGTAAACCGCTGCCAAAACAACAGCATCCTTTCCATAGAAGTAAATCAAGTGCTGCTTACTTGGCAAGGCACATGCCTCACATGTGCAGGTTCCTGAGCTCCATCTCCAGTACCACAAAGAAGCAAACCAAAGCTGGATATGTGCTACAATTTCCACAAATACCCTCCCACTGTTCCCAAAGCAATGTTCTTGTGCCTCCCTGACAGGAAATTAGACAGGAAAAAAAAAAAAGTTATTCCTAGGGCTGAGGAGATGGCTCAGTCCATAAAGCACTTGCCATGCAATCATGAGGACCTGAGTTTAGATTCCCAGCGCCCACATATAAAGTCAGGCATTATGGGGTATGCCTGTAATCCTAATGCTGGGGAGATAGAGACAGGAGGCTCCCCAGAACTCAATGGCCTTGATGAATCTGATGAATTTGTGAGTCCAAATTCAGTGAGAGACCCCCATCTCAAAAAATAAGCTGAAAAGCAATAAAAGAAGACATCTGACACCAACCTCTGGCCTCTGCATGCACAGATACACAGGTGCACGCACACAAGCACACACACAAATACATATACATACACCACACACCACATGCACACACAAAAGAAAAATGTTACTCCTATATTCAAACACCCAAGAACTTCCAACTGGATTCAACATAGTTCTTCCTGACTTCACCCCATCCAAGCCCTCCAGAGACAGAGATAAATACACAGATTCATTTGGACTCCCATAGCATCCTATGCAAATGACTAAAATAATACCTGTGACACATTAAAATTCTCTGCTCTCTTGTAAGACTGCAAGCCTAGCTGGGCTGGGCATGATGCCCCAGCACTCAGGAGGCAAAGGCAGGCAAATCTCTGTGAGTTCAAGGCCAGTATGGTCTACATAGTGAGTTCCAGGCCAGGTGGGGCTACAGGGAGATAAAAAAAAAAAAAAAAAAAAAAAAAAAAAAAAAAAAAGAACTGTAAGCCTTTTGAGAAATCTTAGTCAGCCTTGTTCCCAACACCCATCCAAGTTCCTGGTTCAAGAGAGGTTTTATAAATCATGTTAGTTGAACCAAACAGAAACCAGTTTAGTTCCTGCCCTTGCTGAGGTCACAATCCAGAGAGAGGTGCCCTGGCTTCGGTTCCTGCTGTGGACAACACTCCAGTTCCAGGACCCTAGCACACAGCCTTCCCTGAACAGGTGGCCCAGCAGGGAGTGTGTCTCACCTTGACAAGCCACACTGAGCCAACTCTACTTTATCTTCCATCTTCCTCAGAACCACATTCCCTCCTAAGAAAGATGGGCAGGTGGGAGGTCTAGTCTAGGTGACCTTGAAACTCAGAAGCCTGGCAGGAACACCTGGGTCACGCTGCTTGGCAACACGGCAACATCATATTACAGCCCCAGGACTCCAGCAGGTCTGTCCTCTGGCACACCCAGAGTAGACTAGTCAGACAGGTAATTCTGCCCTCCCCCCACCCTCATGGAGGCCAGTTCACCTGGGAGAGGCATGGTCTCTGCCAGCACAGCAACTTTACCTGAGAATGATCCGGAGGTACTCAATGCCCTCAGCTTCCTCACACTTGATGGACAAGATCAAGTTCCCCAGGCTGCTGCCAGTACAGTAAAAGTTTAGATGATCCTAGAAATAGAAATCAGGTGTGAGCCTCCAGACATGGTCCCAAAATCACGTCCTTCACTAGGAGGGAGAAACCTCCCAGAGAGAAGGATCCTACTGTTTCAGCAGTGAAGGTGTCAACAAGGATGATATTAATAGGTGCCAACTACCAAGTCCTCAGGATGTGCCGTGCATCATCCTATAGCCTCCTTACTCATCTCATTTAATCCCGACCACAGCTTTATCCAAGGAGATGACATCGCCATCTCCATTGTTGAAATTGTTAAGTGACAGAACCAGGGCTCAACCCCACATCACTTTCACTCTCAGAAGACAACCAATCCAAAGAGAAGGGTAAGAGGATCCCAAGGGGTCAAGAGGCCCTTCTCACGAAGTTCTCCCTAGCTTCCTGGAGCTTACCACCCAAGCCCACCAAATTAAGAGTGGGGCCAGAGAAATGCACTTTAACAACAACCCCTAAAGTTCGGTGAGGTTTGGGTATAGCCTTCTCCGGGTGAGACTGCAAAGCTATCTTAGGCTAGAGACTTCCAGAAGCTGCCCTTGGGACTTGGGAAATCTAGCAAGTCTGAAAGACAGAACATATTTAAAGAACTGTAGCTTTGTCATTGTTAAATAATCAGTCTCACAGCACACCAGCCAGTGTAAGTACTCAGGGGACCACCCTGACCAAAACCCAAAGAGACTGGCACTGCAGAGGCATGCAGAGACTCTAACCAGGGAGAGCAGATTTTTCCTCAAGCAGTTAAAACTTAGTCCATCCTCCAGCACCCCCAAACCACCCAGTCAATCACTTTCTACAACACTTTGCTGGTGGTAGTCCCCAAAAGTCCCCTTGCAGGAACTCTACCCCACTCCCAGAACTTTCTCCAAGAAAGACAGAGATAGGCAGTGAGGATGGAACAGAACTGAAAAGAAGAGGCAGGGAAGACAGAGGAGCCTTGGAGAGGGCAGCCAGGAGCCAGGAGCCATGGGCAGCCCAGGCCTCACCTTGCCTAGGAAGTGCCTGCGGTAGGCCCTGGCTTCACCCCTGCACTCAAGCTTGTAACCGAATGTGTTGGGGCTGAGGCTGTCCTCGTCCTCCTCCTCACAGACGCTGCTGCCCAGAGATGTTGGTGTGCCCACATTCTCCGGGTCCTCGATCCAGTAACCCCCAAACTGGGGCAGAATGATCAAAGGGTATGGGCCTCCCTTCTCCACAACCTGCAGACAGAAGGAAGGTCTTGCCCTGAGCCTGATCTGGGGCTGCAGTGGAGAGGGGTCAAATGGCATCTCCACCCACCTCTGAACTTCTCCAAAGAAGGAGGCCTTGTATGAGGCTAAGGGCAGCAACGAGTCTCTCCTCTGAACCCCTGCATCCCCAGCTTCACTGGGAATGTGGGTTTTGCAAGGCCTATATGGGCACCCTCAAAAGGTCACAAAGGCAAAGACAGGAAGGGGGCTTAGGCCCTCAAGTCTCAGGCCCAAGGTTCTCTCCCATGTATGGCTGGGAAGGGTCATGATCTCCCCAGGAAGGGGATCCAGAGCAAACTCAGCTGTGGGCTCCTTACCTCTTCAATGCTGGGGTATGGGATGTAGTCATCCTGCAAGACAAAGCAGAGGGCACTACCATTAGACCCAGAAGTGCCCAGGACAGTTTGAATACTGTTTCCACATCCTCCCCAGGTCTGGGAAAGGTGTGTGTTGGGAGGTTTAGCAGACCATGCTAGGGCTTTGGGGGTAGCCAGCCAAAGACATAACACGCAAAGGGACTTCCCTGGTCACCCTCGAATGACACTAGCTTGTCATCCTAGGGTATTAAAACAGGAAGAAAACTAGGCATGGTGGCATACACCTGCAATCCCAGCACTGTAGAGGCCAGAGGCAGGCAGATTGGGAACTCAAGATCATCCTTGGCTACATAAAGAATTTGAGGCTGCCTATCTCAAAAACCCTGTCTCAAAAAAAAAAAAAAAAAAAAAAAAAAAAAAAAGGGGGTGGGGGGGGGGG